TTTTCACCAGTTTGTTCAGACGTCTTGCATCTTTGTGTTTGATGCTTCCTCCCCAGCAGACTGCAGCATAGAACAGCACACTTGCCACCACAGACTGATAAAACATCTGCAGCATCTTACTACAGATGTCTACTGATCGGAGTCTTCTCAGGCAAAAGAGGCAGCTCTGCCCCTTTCTGTAGATGAAGTCTATATTCTTAGATCTGTCAGATGTACACCTAGATATTTATACGATGTCACAACTTTGATGTCCACTCCACAGGTGTTCACTGGCTGAAGAGTGGGTTTGGATCTACGGAAGTCTATGACCATGTCCTTTGTCTTTGAGGTGTTGAGGAGGAGGCACTTTTTGCGACTCCAGTCACTGAAGGCTCTTATTAGATCTCTGTATTCAGCTTCTTGTCCATTTCTGATATATGCCACAATAGCGGTGTCATCTGAGTATTTCTGGATATGGCAGGACTCAGTGCTGTATTTGAAGTCTGACGTATACAGTGTGAACAGGAAGACTTAAGCTGAGGCATGTCCCCATTCATGTTTCTGTGTGTGTCACCTGCAAAGTCTGGTAAAGAGGGAATTCTAGATAAGAACAAAAAATAAAACATATATCTTCCTGCAAAAGTCCCATTCACCTTGTCTGCCATTCCCTAAAAAAAAAACTTCAGTTTGATGTGGCCCAAAAGGATGCTGGGAAGGACCTGTTTCTATGGATGCTTTACCAACCACAGAATTAAAGAGGCTAGTTTGGCTGTACTAATAATTCTCAAATCAATACAATCATATTAAAATCAGTATTATATGTTAACTTGTTAATGTGTGTATTTTGAAGCTGAAGTATTGTGATGTGGTAGTTATGGAGCAAGAACATGATGCTTCAAAGGGTGCCAACTATATGTGACAAGTCCTCCTCTGTTACAAGAGTTGGACATGTTCCCTTTTTTCAGTTCTGTTGGGTCAACCCCAGGTTGACTTATCATGCATCAAAACATATCAGACTGTAAATCAAACTTTGAAGTGAACACTTGGTTCATTTGAGGGAGTGCAGTGAAAGAAAACTGAATTTCACAATAACAGTGTTATTGTGACTATCACGTGTGAAAACAACCTTAGTTAAATTGATGAACATACTAGTTTAAAAATAGCTATTTTAGACTTTTACATGCTATAGAGCTGTACCCTGAAACTAGAAAACACTTCAGATCTAACATAGAAGATGCAGTGTAAGTGTGAGTACACAGCACAATCTGCTCATCTTCTGATAGTCTCTGAACTGATCTGTGGACAAAGCTCTATCTCTCCACTGTCATTTCCTCACAGCTGATTTTACAGGATACATTTGTGTCATATCTCCTAAGCACTGTTTGTTTGTGCAGGTACGTCAGGTTTGTAACCGCAGGGGTGGTGGAGATAAACGTTGCAGTGCTCGCTCTGTTGTGTCTCTTCCTTTTCCTGGGCTTTGTGGTTTTGGCTTGCTGCCAGAGAAGAATCAAACATTAGCTAACAGAGCTGCGGCTGGCTGCAGAGCGGGTAAACTGAGCTTCTGAAGACCAGCCTGTGCGGTGGAGGAGTTTTTTTAATGTGAATGTAGGGGATGGTTTGGCCCCTCCCACTCCCACCCCACTTGTCCTGCTTTTTTTATAAAATGATGATACAATCACTCCAGCCACGTAGGGGAATGATGCATCACTGTGTCTGCTGTATTTCTCTCCACTGTTTTTATCCTTGCACTGATTCTTCTGCTTTGTCTTGGTTGCTACAGACCCTCGTCTCTCAACAAAGTCAACCAAGTTCTGCCATCTCTAGAAGTTCCCAAAGACTGTCAGGGAGAAAGGCTTTTGGGAGCTGTTTTTAGTTTGCTCCTTGCTTCGCCTTCCTTAATCAGCTAAACCTGAATTTAACGCCGTCTCTTTAGTCAGCGCTCAGCGGGACTGCCTTTTTTAATGCTTGCAAATGGCGCCGAAGCTCACCATGAGGTGAAGACACACAAATACAAAAACACACAGCATCATAAACACAGACACACACAGGTGTGACAGGAGACTGGAGGCTGTGGATTTACAACCGAGGAAATGGAGGGACTGCAGGAGGTCATGACACGTCATTAACACACATATACACACACACTAGTACACACACATTTGATCAGGCCCTCTGTCAAATGGTTAATGTAATGTAAATAGTGATGTAGCCAAAGGGGGCGGGGCTACTGTATGTGCAGTAGTGAGCTGGGTGTCTGCTGTTCTTTTAGCTATGTGTGTGTGTGTGTGTGTGTGTGTGTGTGTGTGTGTGTGTGTGTGTGTGTGTGTGTGTGTGTGTGTGTGTGTGTGAACTGTGTTGAATTTTTGCAGTCATACTCATTCTTACACTGCAAGTCATTCCTGGAAGCAGCGACAGGATCTCTTAATGTCTCCTGTTGAAAGAAATCCTCAGCACATGTGGAGTCTTCCTAAAAATATATATTTTTGGTAACATGAGATTTTGTTCTCTAATCCACAAATTGACCTTTACTTCATTGCTGGCTGTGGTCTGTAATGTCTGAATACGAATTAACAGAAGCCATGGCAGACAGGTTTTGGGTGTGTTTTATTGATATATTTGTAAAGCATTGATCACAACCTTATGATTTACAAACAAGCTTTATATGAGCTTCCATGAATTCTGCTGAAGTGCATCTGGTTTGATTGAAAAAACAGGGAAGGTCCTTTATAACAGCTTGTTCATTTATATCATCTTTTATATCACACACTAAAAAAAGAGGAAAAAAATCACCAAATCTGAGCAGCTTTGATCCTACTTTTACTGTTTCTAAACTTGACAGAAAGATTAAAGTTTGTTGCTTTGACTTAAAGCTCTTGAGGAAACCACTCAACCACATGCTGATCGGATGATAGATGCCACCCCTGAGGTGGCTTAGTCCCCCATTGTTAGTTTCAGAACAACTAACTTATCATTTTCTTAATCAGTCAACTGTGATGTTTTCTCTGTGGTTCATTATTCTGATAATAAGATGTTAAGACAAAGCAGAGCTGCACATATAAACCTGTTAGACGTACTGGTTAGCACACCTGTTGATATCACCATCAAGTGTTCCTCCTTTCAGGTTTTTCCATAGACAGAGACTTGCCTTTCCTCTCCTACCATTGGACCAATCTCTGGATCAACTGGCGAACAGCAGCATTCAGTTAGATGCAAAGAATGTTGCAGCCAAAGACTTCCCCGTCCCTTCACTGCATGGTTTGCATTTTTTAAAGCAATCGAAGAGACAACTGTCTTAAGATGAAAAGTGAAGTAAAAACCACCTCTCCAGATTCATCTGCAATGTAAAATCATTATGTCTTAGCGGACTGCATCTCTACAGCCCTACCTACACAAAGGATTCTCTCTGGCTTACCAAAGTGGTATGAACCTAGAAAACCATTTTTTAGTGATATTATTTGGTTTGGGTTTGCAGGGATAACAAGATTATAATCCAGATTTTTAAAAGGAAAAAAATCCAAGATTTGTCAGGTCTATTCTCAAGAGAAGAAAAAAATGGTCAAAGCTTTGTTATTGAATGGCAGTCATACAAATCATTTCTGATGTTGTACAGTTTCACTTGCATAAAGATGTCTGTTTATGGAGATAAATGAATCAAATGAGTCCTTCATGCCGAATCTAAATACAGTTGAAAAGCTCCCTGTGCAAGTGGAATGTATTCAAACATTTAGTTAGAGCACTTTAACAAAAGTTTTGTCATCAAACTACCATCTTCATATCAAAAAGTAGATTATAGTGCTTAGTTCTGTGTGATTAATAATATCGTGGTCTGGCATGACCCTCCAGCAGGCCGCTGAGGTGAAGTAGTGAACGTATAAAGTGAGAGGCTATGGAATAAGTAGATTGTGATTCACCATAGAGACATGGAAAACAGTGGCAGACATCAATCACGCTAATGTCTGCTTTCATGTTGAAGCATTTTAAGGTAAACCTCCTTGACACTGGCAGATAACTGTCGAACATTTCATTGTGTGTGTCTACGCGTCAGTCTGCGTTTGTTCCTAGAAGGCATGACTCTCGGTTTAAAGCTGTCTGATATCCCCAGACTCAAGGTAATCTTTGAAAGGAAAGACACTGATTGCATATTTCGTGCCATTGAACGCCGCCATATCATTATCATCACCCTGCTCTGCATGGTTGGATATCTGCCCCGCGGAGGCAGGGGTGTTTTGTGTGCACAAGGTTTGTCTGAACGTGTGATGGGAATAAAGCCAGGTATGTTTACATGCAGATAGATATATGAGCTACAATCACACAATGATCTACAGTAAAGTGACTCTTTTATAAAGGTAAGAGGCAGACAGATTAAAACAATCTCAAACTTTTGAAGGTTAATTTATGATGAAATATGAATGTGTCTTGACTTGTTTAATAATTTCTCTTCATTTTGATAGCTTATAACCTAGTTTGAGGTATATTCATAAATGATTACGTCTTCAGCCCCAATACTGTCGACAGTAAGTTGGCAGTTTCTGTTATTTTTACATGCAGTACTTTACTAATACAACTTCTACCTCCACTTCAACTCTTTGCTTTGTGGCAGAGAGGAAGATAAAAAGACTGCAAAGACTCTCATGATCCCCATCAACTTACCATATAAACCAGAGATAACCCTCCTTCCTTCATACTAAGCCAGCATTCCTACAAATGATGGACTATTCCCTTTTTTTAACATCTGTAAATCTTAAATACCATAATCATTCCTGATCGATTTTTAAAACTTATCAGAAGTTTCTCAAATGCCTTCAATTTCTTTTGTTGAACTAAAACCTTTCAGCACAGAAGGATGGAATAAAAGATCCTGAGTCAGAATATAACTGGATATTTTCCTTCTGTTGATCATTTCTCTCTCTCTCCCTCTGTGCTGTCTGGCAGAAGCACAGTGCTCATAGTTTCCATCCTCAGCCTGTCTGCCGTGTGTGTCTGTGTGAGTGTGTGTGTGTGTGTGTAGAGGGGGGATGGGTCTGATATTCTTTGCATGTTGGGAAACTGGGAAAGTAAGTGCAACAGAGAGACATTAAGTGTGTTAAACATTCCTCTCTCTCTCTCTCTCTCTGGCTGTACTGAGTCACTTCTCCGTCTGCTTTTCCATTCGTTCACTCACAGCTGACCCCCTCCTCTCTTCTTCTTGATCCAGCCTATCCCTTCGCTAGTCTTTCCTTTTTCATTCTTTATCTTTAACTCTCTCTCTTTTTTTTTTTGTTTCACTTTTGTCACCTTCACTCCCCATATTTTCGATAGGACGTTTCCCTTATTGTTGTGCTCCTTAAACCAAACTTCACTCTAAACATTAACCGCATGTGTGAATGACTACAGAGGGGTGATGTCACTAAAATGCTAAATGTATGTTGCTGTATGACCAAAGGCTCTCCCCCTGCTAACATACAGCAGAGCGTATCTGTCTGTGTCGGTGGTTGGCTGTTTGAGATGCACTAAATTCTGCAGCCAACTCTCAACAGGCAGTGTAAACCAAACTGAAGTGACAAAGACATTGAGAAGAGGTTACACCCAAAAGCCTGTTTAATTGCTATCTCACTGTGATGTTTTGGGTGATGACTTTGTAGTTAAATCCAGAGCAGACAGCACTGAACAAAGTGTGACAGAGATGTTTCTTTAATACATTTAAACATTACAACAATACCTTAATGTCAATTCAAATTCAGACATTCCCTTTATTTTAAAAACACTGAAGAAAGTGGAAGCTCATAAGCTCTGTGACTTGCTAAACAGCAACAGTTCACTTGAGGATTTTCAGTCAGGATTCAGAGTCCACCACAGCACTGAAACCACACTTCTGAGGGTGACTAATGACGTACTGATGGCCGAGGACAGTGGTCTTCTTTAAGTACTTTTTTTTGTTAGATCTTATAGCTGCCTCAATTGGCCATCCCCTCATCACAGAGACTTGAACAACTATTTGACATTACAGGAACTGTTTGATCTTGGTTCATATTTGTCCTCTGACCCCAGTTTGCGCATATTAATCAAAGGTCTTTGTGCACACCAAGATCAGATATGGAGTTCCACAAGGTTCAGTGCTTGGATCAATCCTTTTTAACTTATATATGCTTCCTCAAGGTAATATAATCAAGGACCATCCCATAAAGTTTCTTTGTTATGCAGATGACATTAAATTATACCTATCACAGAAGCTAGGAGAAACTAGTAGATTAACTTCACTTGTAGCATTCCCTAAAGACATGAAGACCTGGATGACCAGAAACTTCCTGCTACTCAGTTCTGACAAAACTGAAGTTCTTGTTCTTGTCCTCAAACACCTTAGAGAGACATTTTCTAAAGACGTAAGTGCAGTAGACGGTTCAGAGTCTGTGAGTTGTCTTCGACCAGGATTTATCCAACAAATCTCCAGAACTGCCTTTTTTCACCTGAGAAATATATCAACCATCAGGCACACCCCGTCTCAGGACAACTTAAAAAAAAATTAGCACATGCATTTGTCACCTCTAGGTTGGATAACTGTAATTTCCTTTTATCAGGCTGCACTAAGTAGTCTTTAAAGAATCTTAAGCTGGTTCAAAATGCTGCAACTCTAGTACTGACCAGAACCAGGAGAAGAGAGCACAGCTCCCCCAAATTGGCGTCTCTACACTGGCTTCCCTTTAAATTTGGGGTTAAAATTTAAGTTCTTCTGACCAACAAAGCTCTTCATAGTCAGAACAGTCTGCATATGCAAGCCTGCTCATCATACTTTTACTATCTACCAGTCGAGGTTCAGGGGGCAGACACCCTCTCTCCCTTCAAGAATAGGCCTCAAATTTCTCTTCTTTAAAAGCTCACAGTTAGAGTTAGTTATGCTGCTATAACTTTAGAGTCCCTGGGCTCCCTCATCACACAGGTCCCTCTGGATCTCTGATGCAGGTGTCCTACTGTTGTGGACGTACCTGCTTTACAGCTGCTTCAACTATATGGATCAGTCTTGCTATTTTTAACAGAGTTACAAAGCTAAAGCTCACTGAAGAACAGCCACTACTGCTATGATATGACTAGAGATCTGTTAACTTTCTATCCATTATCATCACCATGCAGTTCATGTAAATAGTATATCTGCTTGGTCCACTATCTCTGGCACTACAACCATACATCTGTATGTACTATCGTTTTTTCCTTCTTTCTCTTTCTTCATCTCCCTCTATTTTTCTCTAAATCCAGTGCACTCTCTGCAGATGGCTGTTTTGGATTTTGAACCTCTCACTAAATGTTCCGATGTCCATAGATTTTTCTTTTATTCCTTTTTGTTTTTGTTTGTTACCCTCTTCTGTCCTCAGTCAGTTTTGAACATTTTCTTGTGGTTACAGAGGTGCTGTGGAGCATTTGCCACAAATATACCCCCTAACACACACATAGTATATATTTAAATGCCAGACAACCTCCATGATCCTGTCTGAGTTCACCTTGGCAAGCTCATCAAAAACAGACAATTTGTCTTCTTGTCCTTGAGGGAGTGTGGGTAACTACTTAGGAAATCAATGCCTTGCTCAGGGGCTCTTACACTCAGACACTTTTTACTGCTGCACTGTGAATAAATAGCACCAGTCGAAGGATTTTCTGTAAGACTTTTTGCTGCTCTGAGTTCAGTTTGACCTCATTGACAGTGAAGGGAGAGAGAGAGAAAGGTTGGTAGAGTGACATAGATGATGAGTTACAGACTAAGGGGAGGGAAGAAGAGTGAGTCATACATGTGGACGTGGCTTCCCTCGCTCTCTTTCTCTCTCATTTTTTGCTCCAGATCTCTGCGTCTAGTTCTCAACCGTCCCCCCTTTTTGCTTGCCAGACCAGAGCAAGGCCTTCAATTATCTGTTTTTGACGAAGAGTGAGAGAGAGAGGCAGGGAAGAGACCACGGACCAAGACGAACTTTGCCTAACTCTCTCTCTCTCTTATGCTCTGTCTCTCTCAACTTGGGAAATTCCTTCATAATTTGAAATTAAACTGATTCCAACTCGCTCTTTCTCTCTCTCTCTCTTAGTTGTAATTCCAGGGGTTGTTTTAATAACAGGTGGCAGTGGAGTGTAGTCAGTCTAGCCCACAGGCCTGCACTTTACACCCACACCCACTGAATTAACTTATTACATCCTTAAGGGCAATTTGAAGCATTTTTTGATGTCTGTCACTTGTCTGTAATTCGACAAATGTTACTCCGAGGCAAACGCGTGACGAGACACAAACGCAGTCTGAGTCTGAACACAGGGACAAACACAGAAGAGGACTGAGAGAGGGACTTAAATGTTGTTTCTGTAATTTCTTAAATATATAAGCCTTTCATGAGTTCTATGGCAGGTGTCATAACGTGCTGAAGGAAGGAAGAAAGAAAGAAAGAAAGAAAGAAAGAAAGAAAGAAAGAAAGAAAGAAAGAAAGAAAGAAAAAGAAAGGAAGAAAGAAACAAAGAAACAAAGCAAGAAAAAAAGAAAGAAAGAATAAAATAAATTAAGAATGAAACAAAGAAAGAAAGAAAGAAAGAAAGGAAGAAAGAAAGAAAGAATGAAACAGAAAGAAAAAAGAAAAAACAGGAAAAGAAAGTAAAAAAGAAAGAAAAAGAGAGAGATTAGAAAGAAAAAAGAAAGAAAGAATGAAACAAAGAAAGGAAAAAGAAAGAAAGAAAAAATAAGTAGGAAAGAGAGAGATAAAAAGAAAGAATGAAACAAAGAAATAAAAAACAGGAAAAGAAAGTTAAAAAGAAAGAAAAAAGAGAGAGATTAAAAAGAAAGAAACAAAAAAGAAAAAGAAAGAATGAAACAAAGAAAGGAAAAAGAAAGAAAGAAAAAATAAGTAGGAAAGAGAGAGAGAAAAAGAAAGAATGAAACAAAGAAAGAAAAAACAGGAAAAGAAAGTAAAAAGAAAGAAAAAAGAGAGAGATTAAAAAGAAAGAAATAAAAAAGAAAAAGAAAGAAAGAATGAAACAAAGAAAGAAAAAACTAAGAAAGAAAGAAAAGAAAGTAAAAAGAACGAAAAAAGATAAAAATTAAAAAAGAAAGAAAGAAAGAAAAAAGTAAAAAAAGAAGAATGAAGAAAGAAATAAAGAAACAGAAATAAAGAATGAAACAAAGCCAAGAATCCCCTTAGCGATAAAAGTTTCATGACTTAATGACTTATGATTGGCTGGTCAAGAAAATGCCAACACTTTCTTGCTGTGGTTTGCTGCATGTCTCAGACTTTACAAATTTTAGCGTCATTTGCCCTTTATGTTATTGCCTAACAAGTTGCCAATGTGATCATTTGTAAATGTAAACAAGAGGTATTGTACTTAGTGTCCACTGTCTAAGTTCCCTCTCTTCAGATTTTTTTCAGGTCAGAGTGAGAACATTAACCCGGAACGGACTAATTGCATCGCAGCAATGATGAGGACACAGAGGACCTGTAACAGCCAATTAGTAGGTGGTCAGTTCCTGTCAAGAACAGACGACACACACACTCACACACAGGGGTTTAACACATGATTGGTAGGTGGAAACCTCCCATTGAACACACAAAGTTGCAGTAAATGATTATTAGCAGGAGGCCACGCACACACACACACACACACAAACACACAGACTGAATAAAACTCAGAACTCCCCCTGTCTTCGCCAGTAGCATAAACTTCAAACACACAGTAGCATCCATTCAGTAAGAACCAATTTACACACACACATATACACACACCTACAGAAAACCATACACACATGCATGTTTAACTATTGTAGAGGCTCTGAAAAACACTAATGAGAAAGCAGCAGGTAGGCTAACCTTTTCATCCTCTCTCTCTCTCTCTCTCTCTCTCTCTCTCTCTCTCTCTATCTCTCTCTCGCCCCCTCCATCTCTCTCCCTCTCTCACACATTTACACACACACACACACACACAAACATGTACACTGCTGTCTTGCTGTGTGTGATGACAGACAGCTGTGTGTTCAGGTTTTACAGCCTCAGAGGAAGTGCAAAGTCGACAGCAGATTAACATCAAAGGACTGCTACTGTACAGTAAAGCTCAATCTATAAGCCACTCCTCTCTTCAGTCTTTACATTAAATTCAACTGTATGTCATCATTTTATTTTTACGTTATTAAAGCATGCAATGATGCCAATTTCACCATTTTCAGATGCCAAGACCCAGCACAATCATATTTTAAGGCACTCAAAAGCCTTTTCTTTATCTGTTCAAACTTTCTTGACCTCAGAATCTAGCAGCATAACTTTGAGCTGGTCCAAGCCTGAGCCACCTCTACTGGTAAGTTTTGTCAAAAAAAGAAAAACATGAAAATTCAACTGAAAGTAGAGAAGATGCAGCTTTTTCATGGTTGCTGAAAAACGGAAAGCTCTGCTTCCGTCACTACCTGAGAAAACTTTAAGTACCAGAGCTATGGCTGCAGGTCAGGGTACCTTTGAATTATTTATTTCTCTATTGTGTGAGGTGACCATATTCTGTCTCCCCAAAAAGAGGACATAACTACGCCAGGGCGGAGTCACAGAGTTTTCCGGGTTGGATCAAGTGTCTTGTACGCGCTTCTAATTCAGTAAGTCCACGTGACACAAACTCAAAACCTCTGTACAAAACCGCGGACATTTGAAGGACTTTAAAAACTTCCCAAACCTGACAAAGCCGGACAAACCTGGACAGCCCCCCCAAAAGAGGAACTGTATGGGTAAAAGAGGACGTATGGTCACCCTACTGTTGTGATCTGGAAAACAAAGAACCAGAAAAACCAAACTTAAAGCACTTTTAGCCTATTTTTGTCATTCATCCTTCTTTTTTTCTTTTCTTTTTTCCTTTTACCATTTTAAGACAAATATTGAAACGACCTCTCTGTTTTGTTTTATGGTGTTGAACCAAAAACCAGGTCAACCATTCTTGCTGGTATAAATTGAAAAGAAAAAAGAAAAGTCATATTACCTTTTTCATTTTCCATTTCTCAATGCAAAGCGCATAAAGCAAGCTCAGATTTTGGATTTTTTTTTTTTTTTTTTGGTCAGACAGTTTAACAGTTGTGAGATGAAATCCATGAACCAGGTAGGACTTATCTTTGTCAAAAAGAACCCAGACTCTTCTGTGTGTCCCTTTGGTATCATGGGTAACCAGAGAGACACAATATTTTCAGTTTTGTTGAAGTCAAAACTTTCTCGTCATAGAGGCCTTTACATCGCCATGGCCCTGACTGTATCAGCTGATCAGTTTAATCTGGCCCTATTGATGAGAAACTCTGAGCATTGCAAGTGTCAAATTGGACATTTGTGTAGTCTTTATCAGACATATAACCTGTGGGCAGTGTAAACTGAAAGAAGTGATTTAAGTACCAGAACTTGAGTACTGCATAGTGAACCCAGGCGTGAATAGAGAACATATGCAAACTGAGATTAATCTGATCGATCACACTGACTTCTTTTGATGATGTTAAACTCAGTGAGGGGTGACTTTTGTAGAACCTAAATCTGCACTAAAACAGTCAAACTGAAATTGCTGTAGAATCTTTGAACCACCCAAAAAAGACGAGGTTTTGAAACTAAGCCGCCAAAAGTAACCACATCTTTGAATTTGATCATGTGCTTGAATTTCACCCCAAATTGATATTTACTGATACATATTTCTACATGATGTACCTCACGGCAAAGAAGTCTAGTTAAAAAGAAAACCTCATTTAGCCACATGCAGAGTTAATGGTGTTTATATCATGGTTTTCCAGTGATCAAAGCAGTAGTTATTAAAGCCTGGTGAAGGCATTGCAGTGCCAGATGTGCTCATTAGTTGATTTTTTAAAGGAGGATATTACTTTTTTTATTTTCATTTCCATTGTCCTGCCTACTGTGTTCTTGGCACAAAGCCACAAAATGCACTTTGCCTCAGGAAGAACTACAATCAGGAGCATAATAAGGGAAAACTGCACTTCCAAACACTGTCCTCGCATGGTAAGATGGATCACAGACAACTTGAGCAAGAGCATAAAGGAATCAATTTATATGTTTGAATGAAAGGACGGAGGTAGACCTGGACAATCGTCAGGTTTAAACATTGACATGTTCACATCGAGGTTTCAAAAACTCTGTTTCGGCTGCATTTGTGTGGACTCTTGAGGATCTGCGGCTGTACCTGTGTGTGGCGATAGTTGTTAGCTTGTGTTGATTAATGAGTTGTATTAGCTAACACCATGAGATACGACTTCTGCAGTTTCCTTCACGTTGGAGTCCAAAAGGCCTCACTTGTGATATCCTGCCTGCATTGTTCAACAGAGTGACAGACAATCGACCACACGTTCCTACAGTCAGAAAGTCAGCGTCAGTGAACAGTCACAGCAGCACAGGGAGTAATGACTGCTTCTATTTCAGTCTGTTTGGACAACACACTGCCTTCTAACCAAGGACACACACGCCCTTTTCTTGCTTTGAATGTCCTTTTTTCCCCTTTTTTTTTTACTTCTTTGAAACCAGTTTTCCTCTCCATCTCCTATCGTCTCTCGTCATCCTCCCTCAACATCCGTCTCCTCACCTCCTCCATCCACACTCCTGCTCATTACTGTCTGTCCAAACAGTCTTATCTTGTTTTTCATACCCATTACCCTCCTCTCCTTTTCCTCCACTCTTAGGCAGACTTAATTTTCCCTTTACTATGTTATCAGGACCTAATAATTTCATGACATTAACATGTGACTTAAGTTTTAAAAACACTGTTCTCAACCCAAAATCCTTATCACCTCTGCAAATATCTACAGGAGGACATTTCTTTTTTGACTCCAAGGTTTTCAAGGTTTTGACTCCACAGGTTTTGTGCCTTTTGACAAGATAAAGGCCATTAAATAGCATTCACATTAAGTCTATTTGTCTTTCAAATTGTGTTTTTTTGTTTGTACATGATGCTTCTTTGACACAGTTTTCAGAGCGGCCTCCTGCAGCTCAGTGCGCTGCTTCGGTTAACAAAGTTCATGATGCTCTCAGTCACTGTTAATATTTTTCTGTCAATCCCTGTGAAGGTCACCAGATGCAAAAATGTTTCACATAAGATTAAAAATAGGAAATATAAATAATAAAGAATCAGAGACTATTGAGGCCGATGCACAGTCAGCACTGTATTCAAGTAGTCCAAACTCCCCCAAATGAAACCCTCTACTTCCCTCTTTGTGCTCTCACCCACACACGTACTTGTGTGGTTCATTGCTACAGTATCGTCATTGTCTTGGATCTCAAGTAAAGGGATAAAAATTTGGGGTGGGAGAAAAAATCGATTCACATAAGTATTGCAGTTTTTTGTTTTACAATTTTTATATAGATTATTTTGTTCAAAGATCTTTTTGTTGCTTCAAATTTAAGAATAAATCTTAAAAACTGCCTTCCATGTCGTGTATTTTTTGGGGAAATATGGTGTTAAAAATGCAGACTAAAAATTGAGAAGATCGACAATATCATAGAATCGCAATTTAAATCAAATCGGCATCCAAAAAATCAAAGAAGAATCGAATCGGGAGAAAAGCATATCGTCCCAGCCCTAATAAAAAGGAATTGGAATTAGTCTTTTGGTTGAACCATTTAAGTAAAATAGAAAAAGCTGCTCTGTGTATAGACAGTTATTGTCAGCTCACTTATTGAATTATTACCCGTCACAGTACCCTTTCATATGGAAGGTAGAAGGACAGTACTCATGTGAAGACATTCAAAACAGGTTATATTTCCAGCCAGTCAAACTAAAGGGCTGATTAAGGCGTTCAGGTAATATTTTTTGTATATGACTGGCTGTCTCCCTCTCAAACAACTCCATCTGTATTTGTGATTTACTGTGAACAATTGTATCTTTCTTCCTCTCCGCTCCGCCTTTTTCACTCCTCCTCTCTCATCCCTCCTTTACACATTCTTCCTCCCGCCTCCCTTACCATGACTTGTTCTGGTTTTTAACGACACAGTTCGGAGCTAAAGCGGGGAGGGATTCCACTCCCGGGGGGGAAACAGCTGGGAGGAAGACAAGATAAAGGTTTAAGACCCTCCATCCACCCCTCACCTCCCCACTTGGAGCCCCCTCCTCACCTGCTGAAAGACGAAACAGAAAACCAAAAAGCACCAACACCTGGACTGACAGCTTCCCATCAATTACGGTTTTGAGTGTGGACTCTTAAGTGTTAAGGAACAAGAATACCCATACAACATAGGGTATGACATGTGCTGCCACTTTGGGACAGTGCAAATGAGACATACATATAACTGATATACAATTATCCTACAGAGCTGATATAGAAAACATCTAATCATCCTGCTTTTTAATCTTGTAACATGATCCTGACTTTGCAGCCTTCTCTGAGTCCAACTGTTGGGTATGGACAAGGTTATCCCAGTTATGAGCTTTTTCCTGGTTTAGATCATGTTTGGCATTGATACACAGAGTAACCTTGGTAAATATCTTATTCCTGTATAGGTGATAAATTCATGGATCCTGGTCCCTGATTTCTCAATCCCAATTGTGCAGATGTTTTGGATGTTCATTTTTTACAAAATAATTTTGAAATCTGTGAAAAAACAAAACTTTTTGGTTTATTTCAGGCTTTATTTAGATGCCAAAACATTTTTTTTCCATTTAATTAGCTCTTGATATTGAGGATATGGTTAAATTACATACAAGCTTACATTAGCATAACAGCTTTCCACCAAACAACCTGTAACTCGTTTACCACAGACTTGAAAGGTCAGCATTTCAATCAACGTTTTTGCACATCCAGTCTTTAAATTTGGGTAACTTCTTTCATAACCAGAAGACAAGTCTCTTTTTTTCTTTTTTTTTTTCTTTTTGTTCAATAACTGAGACACTCTCGGTGTGGCCTCTGTGTTTGCTGTGCTGCTTTGCCACTTGGTTAGGGCCACACTTCACCTATGCCTGTTGACTCTGTGGCAAAAGTAGCTGTAGCATTTAAAATTAACTAACACTTCACAAAAATGTTGGTTTTTGTAGGTCTTAAGAAGTGAGCTAACAACAGTTATGGCTGCAGATGAGAAAGCAACCTGAGCCCAGCTGTCTCCTATCAGAAAAAGAGAAGCGAAATCCTGTCATTAGAGATGGTGAGTACATCTCTGAGTAGCTGGGTGCTATGGAGAATCTGAACCAACAAAAAAAAAGGGATTATAGCAACTGTGTTAAGAGTTGTGATACTCCCCTTATTTGAATGACCTGCCCCCATTTATAAAACTAAATGAAAAAACAAATGCTTTGAAAATGTACAATGTACTAACCCTAACCCTAAGGACTAATAGTGGTCAAATACAATCTAACATTAATTTAGAAAACGAACGATTTTCATCTCTTTAAAAATGAAAAATAGCAGAGGAATGGATTTGATTGATCACTTATTACTACAAACTGCTCATTGTGACAAATATTTGCCACATAGTCTGATTCTTTTAGATGAGGAGCTTCACTTTGTCCTAAAGCAGCTTCCATCCATAAATGTGATGGTATCCGGGAAGTATCAACAACAGCGCTGTCAAACTTATACAACGCTCCATCGTAAACCTTTGGACGCTCCCAGACGGCATTGTGGCCCCTTTAAATTATTTCACCCTGATGGTTATTATCATAACTATTGGCACTATTACTGTTATTAGTCTTTGCTCTGCAACAAAAACCCTTCATTTCCCAAAAGCTCAGCATTTCTGGAATTCTGAAGCAGGTCCTTGTATTCAGATGCAGCAGTGAGTAACTAGAACCTTACATAAGAAACGTTTGACATGTTTTATAGCACTCAAAATAGTGTCAATGAAGATGAATTTTCACATTTCTTAAATATCTGTCCTCTGTCAGTCACTTTTACTCAATAAAACCAATTTTAGTATCTGCACAGGGCCAGTGGAGGGGTAGAAGCCTTTGGGCAAATATCTTCAACTCCAGTTAATCATTTTCTTCATTTTGTCCAAAGTAAGGTGATAGAAGTGACAGACAAAAGTAACTGTCAAACACTTTTAATGACCAAAAGAGATTAAAAAAAAACCCAAATTATACTTGAAATGAACGTAAAGAAACATAAGACAAATGAGGCACAATATGGACCAAAGTCTTAGCACCAAAGACATGAAATGACAAACAGCACACAGAATGACAACAAAGGTCATATTGCAAATTTATCATAACCCTTAGTAGACAAAAGAAAAAAAAAAAGGGCTGAATAGTGTATGGGAACAGTTTTGGGTAACTAATAAATGTTTTTTCTGGGTATATTGATGCATGATTTTTCCAAAGACCCTCTAATGTACAACAACTCACCATCAGCTGAGTAAATGACACAATAAATTAATATTAAATATGATGGAGCCCCATTTCTTTACTCACCTCTGGTCCTTTTTTTACCTTTTATATCAAACCAAATTTGAGTTGCTGCCCTTAAGTTTTTATGCATTTAAAATCTCAAAACTAAAGCATCTGCACTGCCTATGTGAAACATTTTTTAACCTCTTGACTGAGATGATTAGGTGTCTTGAAAGCAGACCTGTACCTTGTCATAAAATCTTTAGACTTTGAGTTCAGACTAGTAAAACCAGGGACGGGAAATGACACTGACCTGTCACAGGGTCTTTGGGTCATGTCTACTTGAAAAAAAAAAAGACAAAAATTAAAAGTTTTGTTCTTCCTCCTGTAATCTGCAGTTTTTGTTCTGTGTTCAAAGTTTATAAAATGTAACCAAAATCAGACAGACACCACGAAGACCACTCAAAGAAAGCTCCAGACAGATCAGACAATACTGAGCATTGACTTGGATGTAAACTGTAATCGTCTGTGTGTGTTTGTGTGTGTGTGCAGAGTAGAGTGTTGTTGGGTGTTAAGTTGACACCGAGGTGTCAAACGTATCACAGGTTCAAGTGAAACAGATCTCACAGCTTGTTAACAGTTGTCCTTGGCTTTCACCTCTCTTTGCTGTAGACCGATGCCAACTTCCTGGAGAGATTCCTGGAGTTTCTCTTAAGTTTGATTTCGAGAAAATATCCAAAAACTTTAATGATAATTTTAAAAATTATCATCCATAACCAGTTCTTATTTGTGATTCTCTCTTGAGATTTCTTGTGATTTATGTTAAACCACTCCGTCAAAGTAAAAAAAAAAATATTACAACAGCCTTTAACTATGTACAACTTAAATATTGAAAAAAGTTTGTCAGCAGTCAAATGTTACTTTGCCTCTGCATCAAATTAAACCATGTTTTCAACAGTTAAATCAGATCTTAATGATTGATTGATCACTTAATGATTTATCCTGATTAGTCACATTTTCAATCGCATGGTTTGAACTCCAGCATTTTGAGACATTTTTCCAGTCGATTAAAACAACATGATGCAGATGTTGGAGTGTTTTGATGTGGGAATCAAATGAATACAATCTTCCACAGTGTTGACCAACCTGCAGTCTGTCACCACTATTGATGAGTTCTGTGCAGTGGGCTGTATTAATTTTTACACCACTTTCTCTAATATTTACACCTCTCAAATTACTCTGAGTTGCATGAAACAGTCAATATGCATTCTTGATGTCTCGTCAGTATTTGGAGTAACGCCCATCAGATTTCTTAAAACAAAGCTCCAAACACCTGAAGAAGTCTCTGAGAGCTGCTAAACTCTGATTCTAAACAGTTTTCTTCAGTCTCAGCCACCGTTTTGAATTTATTTTATATTATCTAAAATTGGATGACTTTGATCTGTATCTTCCTCAGTTCACTGCAGTAAATCAGTCACTTGGGCTGTGAAAAGAATTACTTAAAAATGTGCTGCTGCTTCCTCAAACTCTTTGTCAAAGATTTTCCATGAAAAAGAATTCGACTCGTCTTCATTTCACTCACCAAAGCCAACATTTCCATCTCTTTTCCTCAGGTTGTGCCAGTTTAAGACCTGCGCGTGGTCTCCTTCATTCCTCAGTGAGGAGTTTGTGACACGTCTCTCTTACCTTTCTTTCACCTTTTCAACTGACGACTGTACAAAATGTAAAAATATATTAAATTAAATCGTCAGAAAAAAACAAGAAAGAAACTCATGCAACAGTAAACACTACAGTTTAACATGTCCATTTTAGATGAAGTGTAGGAGTAAATAAACCTCTTAATTTACAGCAAACACCTCTACTGCAAAAATATAATTTCCTGTGTATTTACACCCAAGAATAAAAAAACAACCCATTTTCACGTCAGCCAAGTTCTTTATTTCAAAAGATTCAAATTTGTTTTTCCGTTATTGATTTCACTGGAAATTGAAGAATCTGTTTGAATTCTTCTCTTGAACTAATCTAGTTTTCCCCGCGCCAGATTATTCATTATTGTCAAGGTGGTCCTTGACAGTTATAAGACTGCTTCTAAAAGTAACATTTCCATCACCAGAAGATATTTTGTAATTTTTTTAACTTTTGGTCTTCAGTCTCTTTGGTTTGCACTTCTGCAGAGATTCTTGGTCTGAGTCTGTTCTGCTGTGAAAGAGTTGAATTCTTTCCCTTACTGACCCCTCAGACTTCATAGCTGTTTTAATTAGGCTTCACTTGAGTGTATGTACTGTGGTTCAGGGGTCAAACCAACCGTTCTGCTGGTAAGACCCGATGCAACCTCACAATATCCTGACGATAAACTCAAACTTCTCACCCAGTAGAAAGCATGCAGCGTCTTTGAAGAATCAAACCCTTTCTGTGCATTTATACAGCTCAAAGGCAAATGTACATTACCCTTCGCTCTTTCATTATGGTCAGATTTTTAGAAATGTTGAAGAGCTCGATCATTATCTCCACATAAACCACCAATTTAGACCAGACTACACAGAGGCTAAATACTTTCCTTGCTTCATTGTGACCCACATTTGCTTTAACTAGAGTTACATCGAGAAATCGTTGAAGACCAAAACAGTGCTTACTCTTCAGCAACAGTTTTAAAACTGTTTTGAACCTCATGAACTACAACAGCCAATATTTGAGGACCACTTTTAGAAAGCTTTAAAGATGTGGTGGTAGATGTATGGAGGCTCAATCAAATAGGAGTCCAATTTCTGCGTTATTTTTTGAAGCATATTATCAGAATTTTACTGATACCAGGGACGATACCACCACTGCCACTGTGTACCAATAAAAATACTCACAGGTGCCCCAACAAATATTACTCCTTATTATTTGGTGCAAAAACCCCATTCAGTTCCATGATGCTTCTATCCCAGTTTGGGGTCATCAGGTTTTACAAACAGAGGAGGAGACGTAGAAGTAGGTCTTTTTATTCACTCATGTACATTTTACACACTTAAATCACCTCACAGTGAAAGTCAAGTATCACTGACATATATTGTGAACCTATCAGGTCACCTGCTTAAATGGACAAGCTTCGGTAATAAATGCAACCAATGTGAGGATGACATGACTGAGTGAAAATGTTATCAGAGAGGATAAAATGTTCATGTCAAATACGAACAGAAGCACTGTTTATCTATAAGCTTATCAGCACTTTTAGTTAGTGACATACCAGTACAAAAATATGGCTCATTACACCCATCTATACGAGGAGTTACAAAGCCCAGAAATGGCAGATACCATATTAGAAAGGCTGATTCTAACTAACTTTATCTGACAAACTTCCTGCTTATCTGGAGAGTGTTGAAGAAGTGGGTTAGAGGCCATGGCTTACAGTAAAAATGGGTGTTTTAATTGGGTGTCTCTGGTTAGCTTTACTAAGCTTTGGGACTTAGCCTCAAGTGGACACTCAAGGAACTGCAGAATTTTCACTTCCACACTAGCATCATTTTTCAGCGCATTCTTGATTTAACTTGTTTTGTCACTTGTTTTATCTGCTTTTGTTCTCTTTTTTTTACAATTATTGTTGACTCTAGTGTGTTTATCTAAAATCATCATTTATGAATCGACTGTCTTACAAGCACGAGACGATACAGTGGGGGATAGGTTTGTTTTTAATGTGACTAATTGGCTAATAATGCATTAACTTAGTAAGACACTAAGTAAGTAAGACACTTGATTTGTAGTATGCCACAAATCATACTGTAAAAATACAGTGGGATAGTCATGAGTTAAGTCATTGTGATGTGTCTCTAAAAAGAGGTCAATATGTTATTTTCATCAGAGACACATTGCAGCTGAGACTTCATGCATGTGGGTGTGTGTGTGTGTGTACGTGTGTGAGTGAGCTTCGGCGTGTTACGTTGCGACGTTCCGAAGATCCAACCAGAGCTGGAGGTCGAACCAGGGAATGATGAGGTGGCGCTTTCCTCCCTTTCTTCCTCTTTTTCTCCTCTCTTTCTTCCTGAAAGACAGCTTACATTCCAGCCTCTTCCCTGTAAGAAAAAAAAACAAAAAAGGAACAGGCAGACACATGGATAATGTGAAGGTATCTGCAGTGTCTGTGTGTATGAGAAAGAGGGAGAGAGAGAGGGAGAGGAGGAGTGAATTAGAGGCTTGCTTGGCCAGCTTCAGACTGTGCAACGTGTCTGCTGTTGGTGGATCAGATGGCTGAAAGCTGCTGCTGCTCTGGGTCTCCCTGCAGCTCTTCTGCTCCATAATGTCTGCTTTCTGCTTAATTACAGCTCACCTGCAGCCTGGCCGGCGCTGCGCACAGCCTTTCGCAGGGGGGGAAACCAGAGTATCCCACATATAAACCTTTATTTGGACCGGGGGGGAAACTTCAGCTGCTTAAAAAAGGGCTTTTATTATTCAGAGCCAATAACAATCATAACCCCTGCAAACCCCACAATTGTGCAGGTATTTCAGGCAGAGGCAGCTTCAGCCAACTGCAGCCACTCGTTTAAAAAATGCAAACATCTGGTCTGCTCATAAGAAATGGTAGAGCTTCGTTTTTTTTAACAATCACCTGATTCACTCAGCCAGGTATCTATCTGTCTGTCTGTCTGTCTGTCATTTCAGATTTCCTTAAAGCTCCTGTTTTGACCTTTTCTAACTGGTTACAAATCATACCAAAAACAAGACCACCTGAGCTTCTGAGTTGCTTATATTGATGCTCGACTCTACTGCTGCAGGATAGAAAAAGCTTATAACAGAAAAGTTGAAAAATGTACACACAGGTGATACATTTGACCTTGACAGTGAAGCAGGATGAGGTTTTTATTTTAGATTGAAAAAAAATCACTACTTTCAGGTGTACATGACAAAACTCACCTAAGCAATTAAAGGTGCTGTCTCGTCTGCAGGGGGTGCCAAGTTTTGCCATCTGGTCTTTCCAGTTTCAAAATAATGCTGAGTGGAGATTTGCTAAGTTGAAAATTGAACCTTAGTTTCTAACACACAAAGTATCTACCTGGGAGGTTTTACCTATTAGTAACAGAAGAAAACGTTTTCATCATTTTTATCCATTTTTTTTAACATAACTTTTTCTGATTAATAAATTTTGAATACATTTGTGGTTCCAAGAAAAAAAGACTTTCACAAAAATGCTGCATCTCAAGGGGCTTTCCTAAATAAATTGAATTAAATTGAACACACTGAACCCTGGTACCAGCTTTAAAGCTCCTCTTAAACACAGATGTATTATAAGCAAAAACCAAACTGAGTTAAAAAAAAAGCCTATATTTAATTAGATATAGTTCAAAGACAACAAGTCAAATGTTGAAACCCACTAATTTAATCCTTTTAGAATTTTTTTTTAACTTTAATGACAGTGGCATGCTTCAGAAAACATCAGGACAGGGACAACAAATACTGTAAAAGTTGCATAGAAAATCCCCTCACTAACTAGGTTACTTTACAGCAGGTAAGTAACATGTCTGTATATAGAGGGGCTCTCGAGAAGGGCAGTCACCCCTTTGTGAGAGACTGGGTGAGTGAACAGTACAAAACTCTGAATGCATCACTACATAATATCTTTAAAACAATTTTCAGAAAATCTGGATAAATATCCGTGCAAAAGCCTGATAAGCAATACCATAGCCATGATCATCGGGCCCTCAGGTAGCAGTGCATGACTTTCCTGTGGAAAGCTTTGCATTGGCTTAAAAACACATCTAAAATCTGTGTCTGTGAACTCAGTTAGGAGCTGCATCCACAAATGCAGGTAAACACTGCACCATACAAAGAGGACTTGAGTGTGGTCTAGAAATGGTAGTAACTCTTCTTTGAATAACTATCGGTTGATAACGTTTTGTTATAAAGTCAACATCCATGATGGTATGGGGATGCATAAGTGACCACGGTATGATGAGTTCACACACTCTGGGAGGACGCATTAGCACAGATCCATATGAATAGGTTTTGGGGCAACATATGCTGCCATCCAGACAATGCTTTTTCAAACAGGACCTTGCATTTGACAGTGAGAAGGTGCCGAAATATATTTTGCTCTTATTACAATAGCATGTTTTAGAAGTAGGAGAGTCTGGGTGCCAAACTGGCAACAGTCCTGACTCGTCAGTGATAGAAATTGGCACACATGACTAAAATAAAACACAACCATACAGCAATTGAAACCTGTATAGGTTATAGGATTTATTCAAGTTGTGGCATAAGTCAGAGACAAATTTAAGTAACACTCCATTAATTCAGTATGGCACTTCATTAAAATTGGGTGACCTACAAAAGTCAGACTTTTTAAAGATTGAGTTTAAGTGAAACAGCAGAGGGAAATAATGCTAATTTCAACACCTTAGATGTGTTCCACTCATTATAAAAAATGTTGCATCTAATATTTCCCATCATGAGACCACCAAATCTGGGATTCGGTTTATACCAAAATAAAGTAAAGCTGAAAACTCAGCTGACGCTACAGAGAATAAGATCCCCTTGGCTTTTTGGAGCTTCATGGTGAACTCGTATTAGTGTTGTGCCGGCTGGGCTGCAAATTGATTCATTTTTACGGCTCACATAGCAAATCGTCCGGTCATTTATGGGTGACAAAGCTTTGGAAAACACCTGTATGTCTTTTGTTCAGCAGCAAACAGTAGACAGATAAAAGTGCCAATGAGCAGTTAAAGAGTTAATTCCTGCAGGAGTTGGTGGAGACCAAAAACAGAGCTAAAACGAATTATTGGACTTTTATTCAACAAGTCATCATTGATATGACTCCATAAGGATATGTAAGATTAAAATAAATTTTGGAAAACATTTTTACCATTTTTATTGAGCGATTAAGATATCCAGATGGAGTTTTGTTCAGCAATTGTTTCTTTCTGTATGCCCCCCAAAAAACATGTTTCACACATCTTTCAGAAAGAAAAAAAATACAAGTAAAACTTTCCAAAGAAGTTATGATAAACAATCCAGTTTGATTTTGTTCAAGGGGATGTACAACAATCCTTAACATAAACTTGACAGGTACACTCACAATAGAAGCAATAAGACACTCTAAACACAAGTATCTCCATGTCATTTTAACTAATCCAGCACCGGACACAAAAACGTTGCACAGCTAAATCTACAAAGTTAACCAAACACTTCTAAGCCTGCAGCCATGTTCAGCATGTTAGTGATCAGATACTTTAAACTCTGGAAAAACCCTAAAACAACTAAGAAAAATCTTCAAGCAATTTTGATGGAGGACCGGTACTTAAAGCCTAGGAAAACTTAAACTTACAGTCTTGAGACACAAGTAAGTAAAACCAACCCTTATCAGGACTAAAGCTGTTTTTGAAGATGTAAAACCAAAGCCAGGGTTACAGACGCTGACTGAAAACTAACTTAAATAACAACGAGTCAGGAAGTAGCGCAAAATCAGAAATAAAAACTGGATTAAACCCATAGCTGCTGGTGGAGGAGATCCTCCTCCGACCCTCTGATGCTCTTCAGGATCAGGTTTCCTCCTGCTCAGCCCCCCTTCCTCCTCTGATCCAAACTGTGCTGTGGAATTATGGAAGGAGGGACCTGCTCATTTTCCTTCTTCTGTTCTTCTGTTTTTTTTCCCTCTTTGAAGGAGGGGTCCATTCTTGTCTTCCCTAAACGTGAGCGGCAGCAGCTGGGTAATGAGGGTGCGTCCCCACTCAGTCCGGTCCCCAGCACCTCCCAGTTCTTCAGGCTCCCATATAAAAACCCTGGTGGAAAGTTCGTGTAGGCAGTAGGGAGTTTTCTGCTGGGGTCAGGAGGACTGTGAACAGACAAGCGGACCCTGCCCCAAACACCCGTGTATGAGTGGAGTGTAGCAGAAAGAGAAACATCCCCAACTTTTTCCTCTCTTGCCTCAAAGAGTCTACATGTCTAGTGGCATCTAGACATGTTCAGCTTTGTGGATTTGCGGCTGGCGCTGCTGCTCAGCGCAGCGGTGCTCCTGGTCAGGGCGCAGGGCGAGGACGACAGTAAGTTTCATCACTGTTTACTGGACCTTCTGAAACCCCCTTTTTGTTTTTTTATTTTTTTTTTCTCGTTGTTGAAAGTGGATTTTCTCTTCATGGGTGGACGACTGCTGAGATCTTAGTCAGAGATGAGAAGAAAGGAACTAGAGATGCGAAACTTTGATGCTTTTGCCTCTTTCATGCCTGAATGCATAGGTTCACAGATAAACAGAGCAACAGACTAGCTTGTAGTGTAGACAGTACAGTGTGTGCGTAATGCATTGGGCATCCCGAGAAGGCCTCTCTCTCTACCTCTCTCCTTGGGTTTGTTAATGTCTCTCAACCCCCGCCTCCCCTGTGCATACAGAGCGAGTTGCTGCAGGTTTTCCAAGCTGTCCTCCAGGCACAGTTTAAAGCAGAGAGGGGCAGAATTGCACATTTTTAACCCCCAAAAGTTGAGCATTGTCGGAGAAACATCAGCTTTTCCTTAGTTTCCAAAAAGCCTGATCCTTTTGTGGCTTTTTTAGAAGTTAAACCAAGTAAGATACACCCAAATCTCCAAAAGATTGACAGTGGCGATGAGAAAGGATGGAGAGAAAAAAAACTCAATTTAAAGGAGGAAAGAAAATGGCCTTTGCATGCCAACTCTCAGTAGAAATCTATGCTTTCCTCCAGCAGACACGAGGCAGACAGGGAAAGTGCTTTACAGGCCTGATTGATGTGGCAGAGAAATTCACTGCCTGAAGCCAAGTGTAGAGTTGGCCAGGTGAGAGGGGGATAAAAACAGAGGGAGGGAGAAGAAGCAGGCGTAGTCTTGTCTTCTGGAAACATTTGACCTCTTCAGACTGAGAAGACTTTTTCTTTTTTCCCTATAGTTCAGATTTTTAATAAATAAAACAGACAAAAAAGTAACACGATGTCGAAACCCAGTGGAACTTGAGGCCTCTGTGGGTGTTGAAGCTTTTTCTTCCTGCAAGATGACAAAGAAAGGCAGCTCAGCTCTGAAAACAAGAACCAAGACATAGAAAATCAATTTTTCCAGATGTTCCTCTGGTCTGGAAAGGACTCAGCTGTCTGCTTGCCTGTCTGTCTATCCAAAGCAGATGTTGTTTGACCCTCTAAGCGGCCTCACGGCGCCATCTAGTGTCTCTTCTCAGCATCTGCAGAAACATCTGGCCGCCACGTCTCCTACACCGCCTCCTCCTCTTCCCTCCTCCTCTTCTTCTTTTCCACTCTTTTTTTTTTTGTTACCTCTAATTACAAACATATGCGGATCGTTTCCACCAGATGCTGCCAAGCCGACAGTCTGCTGCGCTGCTGCTTTTCCCTCTGACCTCAGCACTGTGGCATGCTGGGAGATTTATAAGCCTTTCAAAGAAGCCCTACTTTGGGTTTGCTGGGGAACTTAACAGAAGTTATGAGGTTCAAGCAACTTGAGGGTTGTAGGGCAGAGGAGCTCTGAATCTCTCCATGGTGGTTAACGGGGGTGCAATCACCAGGAGACTCAGATTTTGCGTGCGTAACGATGATGTGACGTGCGTCCAGACGCAGCACGTCGGTGACCTCTCTGTCACCTCAGCCTCTCTCTGGTGCGAGTTTGAGGCCACTTCCTGCCCACCTGTCCCCATTCGACCAGTTTGGCCCTCTTATGTTACTGCTTTAGACACTTGAACTGTTCTGATCACTATTTTCTGAATCATTTGGGGGGTTTTCCTCCAAATTACGTATTTGAAAATGGATTTAGTGTTAATGGTGCCAACAAAGACAAAAGAACTTGTAGACCAAAACAAAATGAAACAAAATGGTGTTTTTATAATCCGATTATAGGGCCCTATGATGAAGTTGAAACTTAACCAGTCAACATCATTTGAGTATTGATTGATTATGAGGTTGTACAGGATATTTTTGAAAGTCATTATTGATCAAAACTCAACATCTCGACTACATGCAGTGGGTTTCTGCTGCCCTGTACGTTTGGACTTTTTTTCTATTTTCATAGCAAGAAATTACAAATGCAAAGTTGTCACTTTTCACAGGAGGACTTATTTTGTGTTTGTGTGCGTGTCTGCACGGGTCTCACTCCTGTCTCTCCCTCCTCCTCCCCGCAGGCACGGGCGGAAGCTGCACCTTGGACGGCCAGGTGTTCGCGGACCGGGATGTGTGGAAACCAGAGCCATGCCAGATCTGCGTGTGCGACAGCGGCACGGTGATGTGCGATGAGGTCATCTGCGAGGACACGACTGACTGCCCCAACCCCGTCATTCCCCACGACGAGTGCTGCCCTATCTGCCCTGACGATGGTATGACTCCTCCATTAGTCAATGTTTCCTCAATTTGATTTTCCTGCACCTTGTCCTTTCCTATGGCGGTGATTACAGGCTCTTGAATTGTCTTTTACTCGCACTTTGTTTCAGTGTTTTTAAAAACATTATTCAACACTTTCACTCACTTTCATGTCCTTTCCCTCTCTCCTGCTAAAGCTTGACTTCCCACATTACAGGACACAAATCATTTCTTCCTTCAGGCTAATTCTCCTCTGTTGTGACAATGTAGGCCTATGGTAGCTAATACTTGGTGTTTTCATGCTGGTTATGCACAGACTGTCCTTTCTTATTGTCCTATTTTTTACTATCTTCTTCCTCTTTTGTATTTCCAGCTCTTCATTTCACACTATTTTCATTTTAATTTGGGACTCTGTCTGGTGTGTGTTGTGTTTCTTTAACAAACTTTGTGTTTCTTCTCTCTGCAGGTCTCAGGGATGCTCAGGTTGAGGTGAGTACTGATCAGTGATTTCCCACACACCACAAGGTTCATTGATATCTAGTGCCTTTCATTTGCAACATACTTATTATGACAATCGACACACAAACAATGTAAATATAACACAAACAATCAGATTGTTGTATCTGAGTGTCACATTGATGATTGATCACTGATGGACCTAGACCGGGAAATATATTGATCAGGTGTGAGATGTTAGCTCTTTGACTGAGTTTTGTATTTCTGCAGCAAAGATCAGACACAGTTCATAGATTGTTCCAGCTACATAAACTATATCACATATTTCAGCATGTTGAGTAATTTCTTGCACAGCAGTTACATAGTTGATCAAAATCCAACACTAAGACTTTTTATCTTTCATACACAGGGACCCAAGGGACCACGTGGACCAAAGGGAGACAGAGTAAGTTCATTTTTTTTGTCCCTCCAGTTTTTCAATGATAAATCTTTGAATCTTTGTCTGGCGGTGTGCTCACTGTCCAAACAGAGTGTCTTTCAATGATGCTGGAGTTAGAGCAGCTACTCTTAATGTGTTTGAATACAGGCACATGTGGATTATGACCCAGATCATCTGGTGATGTGAAGTATTTGTAATCTTTGCAGAGAAAAAGTGACAATAATTGAAGATGAATGTTTAAACAGTGGCTGGAGTATAATGCATCACAAGATGTTTTTTGACTGGCTTAGGAAAGGCTTAAATACCCTGTATGACCATATATTTGACATGTAAACACTGTATGGTTATGTACAAAAACAGATGTATGCAATGAGCCCAGAAAAGAGAAAAACGCTAAAGCAATAGAAATCTATTTGTCAACAGAATGAAGTCACTATTTTTGGTTTCTAGGGGTAATCATAAAGCAACAGAGTCAAGTTCATGACTAACTTAAGGCAGCAAAGAGATATGAGTGAAAATATGCTGAGGTCAGGTTGAAACATGCAGCCTGTGGGTAAAGATGTTTGGAGTAGGAGAGGACAGACAGCAGAGCATTTTTAAGCTTAGTTTAGGGATTACTGAGGACGTGGAGGAAAGGATTCTCTTTGAATTCAACAAATAAATTACTGAGAAATAAACCTCTGAATATGATTATATTCCATAAAAGGTTAGATGTGGCTTCATACGAGTGTTGTGATGAGCCTAATGTTGCATCAATCGATGGAAACTCTTGTGAAATGTAATCATTCAGTCGTTTCACAGATGTTCATATTGATTCGAATGAATGATTCAAACTGAACTCTTATCATTGCGGTTATTTGATTTGGCAGGTTAGCTCATCTACAACCCAGTGAACTTAAGTACCTAAAAAAAATGGATATGTCAGAGTCTATTCAAATAAAGCTCATGATGTATGTATTAAATCATCAAAAGGAATATCTTGAAAGAATTGTCAACAACTGATCTCACCCACATCATGTATCCTGATGTCACATGGCCAGTCCGTTCATCATGGGTCACATGGTCAGTTTTGATCAGCCACCTTGTCCCCCTTGTCCTATGTAATATTGCGCTCCTCATTTCAGGGGATAATGGACCTTTAGGATACAAACAGGAAAAAAGATATCAAACACAAAAATCTGCATATGCCCAGGTGGTCATGTGACTTGGGGGTGTCTCTCTCTTAGCATGTGTTGCCAAAGCCCTGTACTAACATGACCCTTTCATTGAATCCTAAACCTGACATCTTCTCCCCATCTATAGGGCCTTCCTGGTCCCGCTGGTAATGATGGCATCCCCGGCCAGCCTGGTATGCCTGGACCTCCTGGCCCCCCTGGACCCCCTGGCCTTGGTGGAGTAAGTTTGGATTTTTTGGATCAATTTTGTTTTTTTGTTTTTATACAAGGTTGACCATCTCAGAGCTAACCTTGGTGAGAAAAACAAGCAACACATGTCTAAACCTCACTTAGGACAGAGGAGTTCAGCTTTTTTCTGCAGTAGTGAGACCAATGGAGATAACAAAAAGGCCAAACTGTTCTTCTTAACCTTCCAAAAAAATATCTGAAAAAATCCAATTTCCCATATTTTCAAATTACTTAGAGAATATTTTATCCACTGTAAGCATCAGTGCAGACCAGTGAAACAGGAGATACTGCTTCAAAATTCAGGGAAACTCATATTTTAGTCTCTAGGCTGAAACTAAAGTATATTTGCAGCATGATAGTCTGTCATTGCTTTTATTTGAGCTTCAAAATTCCTGCCTCAATCTGGGTCAGTGGGTCAGAAATGTATGGACTTAATGCAAATCTTTTGGGGTTTCAAAAAGTAATAATAATAAAAAATATTTTTTCCTTTCATTACTCCTTACCAGGATAAGCCTAAATGCAAACAAATTGTCCTTGAATATATTTAACTGTTAGTTTTCACACACCATCAGTAATCTTAACCATCATCCTCTCTGACTCATAAGGTGGAGCAGGATATCGGGCTAAAATAACCCTGAAAATAACTCTGTTTTCAAGCAGAAATAACTTTTGACTGACATGCTAATTCACCAGACTAAGCTAATATGATATTTTAAGCACTCCATTTGATTATGCAGAACCTGTTAATGACTATTATACCGATGTTATAGTTTTGCATTTCCATGGAATATTCTTCATCGACACAGAAGCTTCATCTTCAGACTGAGCTGACTTGATGCACTTTCCCTGTCTTTGTCCAACTGCTGTTGGCTCAAATGCTCTCTTAATAGTTATCATAATTAACAATATTAAATGAATCAATCCTCAATGAGCAGATCACTGAACAGACTTTCGCTTGTAAAGTCACCATGCAAAGCTAGCTAAGATGTGGTACATCTCCATCTACTGCTTTGTGGATGTGTTACACTATGGCTTTTGGTCAGATTACAGCAGCAGCATCTAGACAGACTTCACTGAACCCAACATCACCTCAGTGCCTGTCATGAGGTCAAAGGTCATGAAAAGAACATGGCTGGTAGCAAAGTGAGGGAAACCAAACAATTTGACCAGAGTAGGATAAGAAAAGGAGGTACAGTCAGACACTGAACTGTCACATTAACAGCAGACCTTTTTTTCCATTCTCATGCATATGTACATTTATATGTTTATATATATATGGTGATTTTGTTTATTCCATAGTCTATACCCAAAGAAATGCAGCTTTAGCTTTGAAAATAACGGCTCACTTTGCATGGAAATCTAACTGTCAGGTTACTAAATGTGACAGACAGAAATGAATTCTAACTTTATTTTTTGTTTTCTCTTCTCAGAACTTCTCCCCTCAGATGTCCGGTGGCTACGATGACAAATCCCCTGCCATGCCTGTGCCTGGACCCATGGTAAAACATGCACACAAACAAACAAACAAACAAACAAACAAACAAACAAGTATCTCTTTGTGTCTTTTCCTGGCAACCATGCTGACTTAGTATCTAACCATGCACTGTTTGATTGACAGGGCCCAATGGGACCCCGTGGACCTCCTGGACCCCCTGGTGCAAGCGTAAGTACATACTTCCTCCGTCCTGGACTCAACTTATTATGAAATCAAAGATTAGAGAATGAAGGTCCTGGTATGATGGCAGCAAGTCTTTGACACATCACTGTGTCATGCTACAGTTGCTGAATTTCTTTTTTTGCACCTGAGGTCATCTCCTAAAAGCAACACAGTTGTGTCGTATCGCTGTGTCGTATTAATCAAATAATCACACTCACACAGATACAACCTGCATGTCAAGTTGCTGGAATTTTTGCAGCATACATCTAAGCTGTATTATCATTGTTTGGATTTGATAATGAGGTTCACACTAATGAAGCAATACTTTACTTTCTCAGCTGGGCACAGCTAGATTTTACCTGCAGCTTCCACAGGCCACATCTGAATAGTTAGGAGCATAAATGTACATTGTTAAGATGTACCAAAAACACCTGTAGAAAGATTGCTTACTGTTTGGAGTTTGACACTCACTATAGTGACCAAAATAATCTATAAAAACTTTTTTCAAATTGAAATAGTCTGTACTGAATTATCCGCATATTGAGGTTAGAGCAGATTTTTGTGTTTAGTACAAACTAACCAGGGCTTGCGTTAGGGACTTCTACTACTACTGCTACTGTTCCTACCTTAGTGACCAAGATACCCTGACAAGGACAAGACAAAAAGATTTAAATCAGATAGAGACTGTTGTTATGTTTGTCCATTGAGGGTGTTTATCTGGTTTTCCACCTACAGGGACCTCAGGGATTCACTGGACCCCCTGGTGAGTCTGGAGAGCCCGGAGCTGCTGTGAGTATTTTAAATATGGAAATTAATATCCACCTGTAGTAGTTTTTTTCCATTCTTACCTTTTGTATATCTTGTTTCATAGGGTGCCATGGGACCCCGTGGCCCTGCCGGACCCCCTGGAAAGAACGGAGAGGATGTAAGTAGAGTGGAAAATACAGCACACTCTCATATTAACTATCTGTGCACCGGTTTGGTTAACTGAAAGTTCCTACTAATCCCCTTCCCTTCTTCTCTTAGGGTGAGTCCGGCAAACCTGGACGCGCCGGTGAGCGTGGACCTTCTGGCCCTCAGGTTCGTCGACTTGGCTGTGCAATTCTCAGGAGTATCTTCAAAAGTGCAATGACCTGGCTATGATAATGAATCGTATCTCCTATCTTTATCCCTTAGGGAGCCCGTGGTTTCCCCGGAACCCCTGGTCTGCCCGGCATCAAGGGACACAGAGTGAGTCAGAGTTGTCATCCTCACATGTGGAAAAATAAAAAAATCAACCATCCAACATTGTTATAAAACTCATCTGTGTGGTTCCCTCCTCTGTAGGGATTCAGTGGTCTGGATGGTGCTAAGGGAGACTCTGGCCCTGCTGGTCCTAAGGTAATCCTCCCTTTCTTTTCCTCTCTGACACAGTGTAAATATAGACCAGTTTTGAAAACCCACATAACATGTATTGTAGAGGCAGTATTAGCGGTTGTAAATGTAACAATAATTGAAGTACAGAGAGCATATGGGGGCTGTGATAGCAACAGGAGCAGAGATCGAGATGTTAGGTGTAATGAAATACCATCTAAATTAATACTGTTGTCCCTAAATGAACGGAATTGTACTTTGTGAAAGTTGTAAATGAAGCTAGGCGACTCTTACTTTAGCCACTATATTAGTCTAAAACCTGCTCCTACATTTCCCATATTGTAGATTTCCTTCAAGAATGCTTTACTAGTAAAAAAAAAACAATAATACTTGGCTAACCAGTTTGTAAGTGAGGCTTTCTTTTAAATATGTGCAGTCTTAAACCCAAGCTAAGGTGTCAAGCATAAGTTTAAGTTGCTCTCACAGCAGTGCTACATGTAACAATAGCACTAGCTAATGCAGCAGTTAAAGCAGCAGAGATATTAGCTGCGTATTAGCGAGTAGCAATGTTGTTGTGTAGCATTAGCATACATATTGGCCCAAAGTAGCTATTCTTGACCCTTATTAACCAATGGAGGCCACATAGGCTTCACTATTTAGCTGGTAGCAATCATATTAGCTGCAAATGAGGTAGTAGCAGCCATTTTGCTAGGTTAAATTTATCTTTGAAATGGTTCTGCAGTTGTTGTCCCATTGTCAACTCTTGTTCCTGTGTGTTTTAGGGAGAGGCTGGATCTCCTGGTGAGAATGGAACCCCCGGTGCAATGGTGAGTAACCCAGCCATCTCCTTTACATATTTATCATGAAAACTACCATTTTGGAGTTACTCTCCTTTCCAGTGAGTTGAAATGGCAGCTGACTGGTTTTATTTTTTCTCTATTCAAGGGACCTCGTGGTCTGCCTGGCGAGAGAGGTCGTACTGGTGCCTCTGGAGCTGCTGTGAGTTTATAAATACAAACACACATATTCCTGCTTTTACCAACTTGTCAGTGTTGAGGTTGAAGAACAGGTAATCTAATCATGTTTGTGTGTGCTGCAGGGTGCTCGTGGTAACGATGGTGCTGCTGGTGCTGCTGGACCTCCCGTAAGTATTTCTCTCCTCTAAATTCTGAATACAGATTAAATTCAGCTTCTAAAATTTTTATCTAAATCCAGCTGTAGTTGAAGCTTTAAAGGTTCATTTGATGCAGTTTTAGATCCCATTTCCATCTAATCATTCAAAGCTATAACTTTCTTTGTTAGCTGTGAGAGTCTGATCGTGGGGTCACGCTTGTCTCTTCATTTTATTATTGCTATTCAGGGTCCCACTGGCCCAGCTGGACCCCCTGGATTCCCTGGTGGCCCTGGATCTAAGGTACGCATCCAAGATCATCAAGCATTGCTATCCAAAATAACCTTACACATCTTTTCTCTTTCCTCTTGACTTCTCTTCTCTCTGAGAGGTTGTAGCACAGGTTGGAGAGTTACAGTAATAACTTGGTTGAACTTATTTGAACTTTTAACTGACCCACAATTTTGACCCTAGAAGAGGTCACATGGGATTGAGGTCATATCAGGCCATCCCAGCTGCAGACGACTGTAATAGAGTATTACATTTTGCTTCATATCAAATTGTGTAAAAAGCACTGTACTGTTGTATGAGAAGTTTTTTTTGTTTACCTCTTTTGTCGTTAAAAGACTGTTAAGCTCTGTGTTAAAAATATGTGAGTCTATCGCATTACCTTTTGGTCAAAGCATGTAGTGTGGATTTATTTTGGTCCGTGGGCATTATGGTGTTTTTAAGGGTGGCATGTTTTTTTTTAAATACCACCAGCTGGTTTCTCAATCATGTCACATCATACCCAGTTCGGCACATAAAAGCTACTTCTTGTTATTTATTTGTATTTCTTTTTCCCAGCATTTGCCTTCTTATTTGTATTTCTTCAGAACCACTACAAGTCTGTCATCATTTCTCATTTTGTTAATGAATATTTCTCTAAATTGTGTCCTTTTCTACCCTCCTCTGAACAGGGAGACGCCGGACCTCAGGGTGCTCGTGGACCCGAGGGCCCCTCTGGAGCCCGTGGTGAGCCTGGTAACCCCGGACCTGCTGGTGCTGCTGGACCTTCTGTAAGGATCAATACTGACTTCTTATACCAGACTCTTTGGGTATTAGAGGATTTTTTTACCAATATGCTAAAACATATTTTCCTCTCTCCTCTTTTAGGGAAACCCCGGAACTGATGGTGCCGCTGGAGCCAAGGGAGTCCCTGTGAGTTTTTCAACCCTTACTGTTAATGTCAGGGTCAAGGGTTCAAGGCTTTTTATCTGAAAAGGATGAGAGGCAGATGAACCAGACTTTAGGCTTTTCTATATTTGATCTAGCTAGAAACACTGATGCATGATGGGTTTGTTTCGTTGCTATCTGCTGCCCCCTGCAGGGTGCTGCTGGAGTTGCTGGAGCCCCTGGTTTCCCAGGACCAAGAGGACCACCCGGACCTCAGGGTGCTGCTGGTGCCCCCGGACCCAAGGGTAACACTGTGAGTGGAGTTTTCTCAACATTTAATAAAAGCAAAAACTTTTTTTGAATAAATGGATCAATTTTGACAAACTTAATCAGAATACTTCGGGCAAATTGTTTTATCCCTTGTTTTTCAGTTTGTTATTGTTGATTGATTTTACTGGTTAACTGTTGCTATAGTTTTACTTTTGTTTTACATATGTGTTGATGTGGTTGATTTTCCCCCTTAGGGTGAAGCTGGTGCCCCAGGATCCAAGGGAGAGGCTGGTGCTAAGGGAGAGGCTGTAAGTTTACCACTTTCAGCATGGAGCAACCATCTTTGCACACTTCAGTATGAATGCACAGTCAGTCTCTTATGGTGTCTGTGTTTGTGTTTTCAAGGGTGTTCCAGGAGTTCAGGGACCCCCAGGACCCTCTGGTGAGGAAGGCAAGAGAGGAGCAAGAGGAGAGCCCGGTGCTGCCGGAGGCCGTGGAGCCCCTGGAGAGAGAGTAAGTACCTCACTTTGTTCCATAGATATAATACTGGAGATGGAGAGGGCTCAGAGTGGCCGCCTGGTCGAATATTTTCACCATGAAGATATTTAATTTACTCCCTACAACTCTCTCTCTCTTTGCTTACATTAGCATTTTGAGAAAGTTATTTTACTATTAACTGAGGAAATCAGAAATTCTGACTTTTGGTGCAGCTGCAGACTCCAATGATTCCTTTTTAAAAGCATAACTCCTGGTCAGTAAGCATACGCTACAATACTTAAAATCCATTCACTTGTAAAACTTGGTGAGGTGGTCAGTGACATGTTGGACTTGTCTGTATTTGGTCCACTTAAAAAGCAGGCCTTTTGTTTCTGCACTCAGTCAATTAACGTCTTCTGCTTGACTTCACTAAATACAGATAATTATGGAATAAAGTAAGCGCACACATCTACATCTACACATAAACTGAACTAGGTGAATCCAGTCAAATCAGCCCCTTGCCCTGTATTTCTGTGTTGTGGTGTCTGGCTGCCCTGGCTTCTAAACAGACCTTTACAGGTCAGCTGATGGTAGATGCAGCCTCTGAGGCCAAAACAAAGATGTCAGCCTTCACCCAGCACAGCCAGCTGAAAACAAAGCTTATGCTATTACACCAAGATTTGTGTCCAAATGATCACATACTAACTCTGTTTTTGAGAGACCAAATCATTTTTAAAATATACACTTCTCTAAAGGGATAAAGTCCCCGAATGTTGCAGAAACAGAGTTTATCATCTCACTAAGCGTTTGTATTGAACATCAAACCTCAAGGTCTTAAAAAGTGTTCAACATTAGTGACTTTTTACAGTCAAAAAGTCTCTGGTGACCTTCCCTTTGGCTGTAACATGGGTAGGGATGGCAGCAGAGTTGGTCAAATAAGCTGCAAGGTTGTTAGTGGAAACATAGTTTAGATAAAATGGTCTGCTTCAGCTTTCTCTATTTTGGTTCTTCACTGGTGCAGTTACTAACTGATGCGGCCATATTGTGTAGTGTTTTTATCCAGCATCATAGACAAGCCATATATATACGAGCACAAAGTATGACCCACCTTACTTTATTTGTGTTTGGCTTACCCTGATATCCTTACCTGACCAATGAATGCACCAGTGAGAGACAGAGTAAGGCAGGTTCTAGCTTTGCTTTAAAGGATTTAGAAGTGGATATGTACACAGTGGAGTCTGAAATAGAAGTGTCTACCCTGTACTCAACTTTTGCCTGTTCATGCTTTAAAAGTATAAAATGATAGTGGACACAAATGTCAAATGTGCACATAGTTGTGGCTCATTTGAAATGAAATTTGTATGAAAATAAGCTGGTGCCCCTTTTAGGACAGAAAAAAAGAACCTTTATTTAAAATGTCTGCCGCATCAGGGGCTACCATAGCCATATCCTGGACCTGCTTCCTGACACTCTCTGCTGTGGTCCATTTTGCCTCTTGCTTTTGCAAACTTGTGGCTTTTGATTACTTTGTAATATTTCTCTAAAAGCCTTTATTGTGGACAGCAAAATACTTTTAGCTGGGGGGGGGTTGAATTTGAGTAGAGCTATAAGTAAAAGTTGTGAAGATGTTATGGTGTTGGATTTGGTTAAAAGAGATAACCAAGATGTATTTGATTCTTTCAACAGGGCGCCCCTGGCGGTCGTGGTTTCCCTGGTGCTGATGGCGCTGCTGGACCCAAAGTAAGTCAAAGGCACAGATATATGATGTGTCATTCAGTACCACTTACAAACACAGAGATACTAGAGGTTCCTTTTTTTATTGTTGTCATTTTTTCTTACACGTTTTGCACTTGTCTCCTTTTCATCACTACTACAGGGTGCCACCGGTGAGCGTGGTGCCCCTGGTGCTGTTGGAGCTAAGGGTAATACTGGTGAGAGTGGCCGTACCGGTGAGCCTGGTCTGCCTGGAGCTAAGGTAAGCAGCCTGTTTGTCACACAATTATGGTATAATCATTTATTGTCCGCACGAGCCCTCTCTGACCTTTGACCTCTATGTGTAGGGTATGACTGGTAGCCCTGGCAGCCCTGGACCTGACGGCAAGACTGGACCCGCTGTAAGTTCTTGTTCATATTCCTGTTTCCATCACAACCCAGTTAAGCCATCACCATTTTTTTTAATTTCTAATGAATCTTCTCCTACAGGGAGCTGCTGGACAAGATGGCCGCCCCGGACCCCCTGGCCCCGTTGGAGCCAGAGGCCAGCCTGGAGTCATGGGATTCCCCGGACCTAAAGGAGCTGCTGTGAGTAGCACATCACTGCTGAACTAACTAATGAGAACTAATAAGTAGGCAAGAGAAGTTGTCTCTTGATCTCAACTGAAACTGCTTTTCTTCTCCTTGCAGGGTGAGGGAGGAAAGCCCGGTGAGAGGGGAGTGATGGGACCTACTGGACCTGCTGTAAGTTAGAAACTCTGTTTTCTTCTTTTTTACAGTACTCTCACGTTTTCCTTTGACTGCTAACATCCTGAACCTGAGTATCTAAAAGCTTGGCATCATTCTACACAGGGTGCCCCAGGAAAGGACGGTGACCTTGGTGCTCCAGGACCTTCTGGACCTGCTGTAAGTAAAATTACCCACAAGCACCCACATTAACACAAACTATGCCCCCATAAGCCTTATATTATCCTCACACTAAACGGGAATAAAATAATTCACTCAGTGTAAAGATGGGTATGATAGGAGTTCTTGTTGGGTGCTGCAGATTTGAACATCTCTTGCTTTACTTTGTATATTTGGGCTTTCTTGTAGATGATACACATGACACCCAAATGGATCAAATTATTGCATGAATTAAACAAGTGAACACAAAATGTTCAAGCGTTCAAACACATGCACACTCACACTAGAAAGAACTTAAACCTTTATTATCAGCTACACAGTAAGCCATACTCAAAAATGCCTTACCTCCAGTCATTTTCTGTCAGCAGTAACTGATGTCCTCTTGGTTCTTTTTTAGGGACCTGCCGGTGAGAGAGGAGAGCAGGGACCTGCTGGAGGACCTGGATTCCAGGGTCTTCCCGGACCCCAGGGTGCTATTGGTGAGAGTGGAAAGCCTGGAGAGCAGGTACGAAAAATTAAAAATGAGTTAAAGAGTGGCCGTAATATGTCATAGTTGCATAACTGTTAAACGGCCTTCCTTTTTGTTTGTCTGTGTAGGGTCTGCCCGGTGAGGCTGGAGCCCCAGGACCTGCTGGATCTAGAGTAAGTAACTCACCAACTATTTATCATCTTCACTACTGCTCAGCAGTTTGCTCCCATCAGTAACCTTCAATAGATTTTTTACACTTAAGCAATTCTAAGTATATTCACGTCTCAGGGCCTAGTGGTGTCAAACTCGGACTGCAAAATATGGACAAAACCTTTGTTTTAATTCAAAGATCCCCCTGTAGTTGTAAATGCTAGCCCTCAAAGTGATATCTAACAGCTATTTTAGCGAGACAAAACTTTGCTCTCTGTGTTGAAAACAGCAGAAATTCTGCCTCAGTTTTACTGAAACACGTTGTCAAGGCTAACATATGCTAGTGTTAATGCTAACCAGCTAAAGCTAGCTAAAAACAGATCATACAGGCTTCCATCTTCATGATTAGCTTCAGCACTTTTGCACTTAGGCTTACCTAATCTTTGGCCACTTCTCCCATTCAGGGTGATAGAGGATTCCCTGGTGAGCGTGGTGCCCCTGGACCTTCTGGACCTGCTGGTGCCCGTGGTGCCCCCGGAAGTGCTGGAAACGATGGTGCTAAGGTAGGCCCCCCAGGAGGCATGGAGGAAAAATCTTGGTAGCCTTTGAAAGTCTCACTGACTTGATGTTTAACCTCTTGTTCTTTTCCTCCTCCTCTTCTTCACTAGGGAGACGCTGGTGCCCCCGGTGCCCCAGGAGCTCAGGGTCCTCCAGGACTGCAGGGAATGCCCGGTGAGCGTGGTGCAGCTGGTCTTCCAGGACTGAGAGGAGACAGAGTGAGTGGTCAATTTTCTTAATACTCCTAAACCAGAACAGCATACTCACTGTCACACCAATTCCATTTAAATTTATCCCCAGATAACAAATGTTCCCATGATGCTCCTTGAACCAAAGGATGTCATGTATGATCTTTCCGTGTATAACTTGTATAACTCCTCCACTCAATTCAATAACACAGGGTGACCAAGGAGCCAAGGGTGCTGATGGTGCTCCTGGTAAGGATGGTGTCCGTGGTTTGACCGGACCTATTGGACTTCCCGGACCCTCTGGATCCACTGGCGACAAGGGAGAGCCTGGCCCTGCTGGACCTGTTGGACCCGTTGGAGCTCGTGGTGCCCCTGTAAGGACCTTCCCAGTTTTCTCGGAGGATAAACCCATGAATCCTCAACTTAAAGTTCTCCATTTGAACAACACTGTCGCAATCCTTTGCTGACTTGTCTTTTCCCTTTCTCTTCCTCAGGGTGAGCGTGGAGAGGCTGGACCACCCGGACCTGCCGGATTCGCTGGACCCCCTGTAAGTCTTCATACATGCCCTCATGTCTTTCACTGACTGTTTTTCTTCTGTCAAAGTTTCAATGAAGACAACATCTTTGCTCCATCTATCTCCTCACCACAGGGTGCTGATGGACAGCCTGGTGCTAAGGGAGAGGCTGGAGATAATGGTGGTAAGGGAGACGCTGGTGCTCCCGGCGCTGCTGGACCCACTGGTGCCCCTGGACCTCAGGTTTGTAAAGGCCTAAATTTGCAGCTAATGGAAGTGCAGATTCAACGCCTGGAGTCTGGTTCATTCAGATTTTGACTAATACATTGTTGTGTCCTTTCAGGGTCCCGTAGGAAACACTGGTGCTAAGGGAGCTCGTGGACCTGCTGGACCTCCCGTAAGTCATCACTCTTGTTTTTCGCACCATCTTGATAAGCTTTTTTTCCAGCCACAGTCAGCTTATGGATTTGTATCTGTTCCCTTAGGGTGCAACTGGCTTCCCTGGTGCCGCTGGTAGAGTTGGACCCCCTGGCCCCTCTGTAAGTCTTTCCCTTAAGTTCTAGCACTTTATATTTCTGTGACCAAACAAACATCCAAGAGGATATTCAGCATTACTGTGTTCTTTTCACAGGGCAACGCCGGACCTGCTGGACCTTCCGGACCCGCTGGCAAGGAGGGAGCCAAAGGAAACCGTGGTGAGACTGGACCTGCTGGCCGCACTGGTGAGATGGGCGCTGCTGGACCCCCAGGAGCTCCAGGAGAGAAGGGTAGCCCTGGTGCTGACGGTGCCACCGTAAGTAATCTTTCACCTTGTCCATCAAAACTAACAGGAGTGCTGGCTTAACTGTCCTTTGAGTCTTATAGTCCTGAAGATTTCAATGAGCACATGCCAGAATTTTAGTGTCTATAACCTTACAGCTTGATGTCTAACAACTTTGTCTCTGCTGCCCCCTGCAGGGTAGTTCTGGTCTGCCTGGACCCCAAGGTATTGCTGGACAGCGTGGTATTGTTGGTCTGCCTGGACAGAGAGGAGAGAGAGGTTTCCCTGGTCTCCCCGGACCTGCTGTAAGAAATACTTGTCACTCTTACAACGCTGAAAAAATACAAACCTCACCATGAATTTGATTAATCAGCATCAACAAGGCTGTGAATTGGTTTCATGACATCAAGACATATGTCTAACTTCACATGTTTACCTTTGTAAATACTCTGGATACTTTAGATACCTTTGTTACGCTCTGGGGACACTAAAGAAATAGATAAAATTTTAATGTTTTGAAAGCCCACTGACCTAAATTTTATCATCAGTGTGATTTTTAAGGGGCACAATAAGTATTATCCAAGTCCCTGACTCTTGCAAATTTGATCAGGCTAAAAATCTTAACTGTCCCCTTGTCACCCACAGGGAGAGGCTGGCAAAGCAGGACCCGGTGGCCCCTCTGGCGAGCGTGGACCCCCTGGACCCATGGGACCCCCTGGACTGGCTGGAGCCCCTGGCGAGCCTGGACGTGAGGTATTGAGATGCAATTGTCCTTGAACACTGAGGCTGCGTATTTTGTCTGCTGCTATGTAGAACAGTGGAACATATGCATGTTTTCTAATTTGTCATCCTCTTTTTTTAGGGAAGCCCTGGTAACGAGGGATCAGCTGGTCGTGATGGACCTGCTGGACCCAAGGTGAGTTCAAACAAAGCTGTTGAAGAGCTTAAGGTGACAACTAAGCTGGAGCTTATTCTCCAGAACAAAGGCTACTCTAGCTTAGTTAAGTTTGCCCATCATTCCAGCCCCTGTTTGAAAAGTTAACCTTTAAGGGGGACAGCAAATGAGACTTGGGAATTGGCTTAACCAACCGGTGAGGTTGGCAACAGTCCTCCAACTCCTGAGACTTCCTTGGGTATCTGGGGATGTTTTGCACTGCCAAGAAAGTGTCAAAGAAAACTTAATAACTTTTATTTGAAGTTTCTTTGAACAAAAACTGACTGGCCAAACATTTTAGAGCTTTGTTCAGAGATATTTGTCTTTGAACAGCTCAGAACAGCCCAAGGACAAAGTAGTGGTAAAAGCGAAACATCTTTGAACTCTGTGTTTTAGGGAGACCGTGGAGAATCTGGCTCCTCTGGAGCCCCTGGTGCCCCTGGACCCTCTGGTGCCCCTGGACCTGTCGGACCTGCTGGAAAGAATGGTGACCGTGGAGAGACTGTGAGTGAAAAACTCTTCGTTGGTTTGGTTTCACCGTCACATCTTCAGTGGACTTTTCTGAGAATGTAAAATGTGTGTCCCTGGCGTTGATATCTACAACAAACTTACTTTTGCATGTTTCAGGGACCTGCTGGCCCCGCTGGTCCTGCTGGCCCTGCTGGACCTCGTGGCCCTGCTGTAAGTTTCAGCATCATCTCTATGAAATGACCACTCTAATCATTGGAACAGCCTGCAGAGGCGCAAGACCAAAGCCTTAATCAAGTTTTTTCTCCTTATAGGGAGCTAATGGACTCCGTGGAGACAAGGGAGAGGCCGGAGAGGCTGGAGAGAGAGGCATGAAGGGACATAGAGGATTCACTGGAATGCAGGGACCCCCTGGACCTGCTGTATGTAGCATTTCTACCGACACGTTCAAAATCTAGTTATCAGTGCACGGACTTCACTTTTGCTGTCTGTTCTTCTTTTGAGCACAGGGACCTTCTGGAGAGCAGGGACCCGCTGGTACTGCTGGACCCGCTGGACCCAGAGTGAGTAAACTAGGCTTGGAGCAGTTTGACACATTTTGCGTCATGATCTATGTTGTATCTCAACGTTTCCACTTCATTTTATCTACAGGGCCCCTCTGGATCTGCTGGTTCTCCTGGTAAGGATGGTATGTCTGGCCTTCCCGGACCCACTGGACCTCCCGGACCTCGTGGACGTTCTGGAGAGATGGGACCTGCTGTAAGTCCAGCTCACTGTTAAACTCTGTTGATTTAGCTTGAGTTAGCTTCCACTGTGAATGTCAAGGTTTTGATTCTCTGGAAACACAAGGCTTCAAATATCAGTTAAATAAGCCTCTTCTTCTTTTGCTTCTCTCCCTTCTTCCATTTGCCAGGGTCCTCCCGGACCTCCTGGACCTGCTGGAGCACCAGGTGCCCCTGGTGGTGGATTCGACCTTGGCTTCATCTCCCAGCCTCAGGAGAAGGCTCCCGATCCCTTCCGTATGTTCCGTGCTGATGATGCTAACGTTCTCCGCGATCGTGACCTCGAGGTCGACAGCACTCTGAAGAGCCTGAGCCAGCAGATCGAGCAGATCCGCAGCCCTGATGGTACCCGCAAGAACCCTGCCAGAACCTGCAGGGACCTGAAGATGTGCCACCCTGACTGGAAGAGCGGTGAGTAAAGGGCTGTAGATGACATAGGAAAAGGAAGACAGTGGTAGATGGCAGCATTTAATGCATCAAAGCGGGAAATCTGACCTTTCTATGAACTCCTTGGTCTCTAGGCGAGTACTGGATTGACCCCGACCAGGGCTGCACTCAGGATGCCATCAAGGTCTACTGTAACATGGAGACTGGAGAGACCTGTGTATCACCAACTCAGCGTGTGATTGCCAAGAAGAACTGGTACCTCAGCAAGAACATCAAGGAGAAGAAGCACGTCTGGTACGGAGAGGCCATGACCGACGGATTCCAGGTAAAACAGCCTCCACCAACCAAAAGCACAAGTTCATTTCTTCCTCCTCTCATCTCATCTTAGTTTCACAGGGGTCTTTTACCCACTCTACCTCTTCTTAGTCCTTAGTCCTGTCCATTCACTTCTGTGGTAATTTCAGAATCTTTGCCTAGCTTTGCCAGTCCGTGACATTACTGTCCTCCTCTGTCTCCCGCAGTTCGAGTATGGAAGCCAGGGCTCTCAGCCAGAAGATGTCAACATCCAGCTGACCTTCCTGCGTCTCATGTCCACCGAGGCATCCCAGAACATCACCTACCACTGCAAGAACAGCGTCGCCTACATGGACGCCAGCGCCGGCAACCTCAAGAAGGCCGTGCTCCTCCAGGGCTCCAACGAGATCGAGATCAGAGCCGAGGGCAACAGCCGCTTCACCTACAGCGTCCTGGAGGATGGATGCACGGTGAGGAGCCTTATGTTGATTGTCTCAGATAGGTCCTGTGTACTGTTTGTGAGCTTGCTAAATGCTAAATCTGCACAGTCAAGAAAACCAGCAAGTAGAAGGTTTTGTTTCAAATTTCTTAGGGCTGCAATTTCTTAGGGCTAGTTGGGTCAAATAGGTGAGATATTAGAAAGTGGAAGTAAAATCCTTACAAATGCACGCTAGCCACCGCTGCTATTCTAGAAGTTGATCTGCTTTGGCAAAAGTTAAGGCAGAAGGTTTTGAATCTGCAGCAGCCATTGTTCATGTTGATACTGATTCATCTTTCTTCTTCCCTCCATCCAGTCACACACCGGTTCATGGGGCAAGACAGTCATTGACTACAAGACATCGAAAACATCTCGCCTGCCCATCATTGATATCGCTCCTATGGATGTTGGTGGTCCAGACCAAGAGTTCGGCCTTGAAGTTGGACCTGTCTGTTTCTTGTAAAAAGAGAAATCTGGACTTGAAATTGTTGTTGTGTGTGTGTGTGTGTTTTATTTTTCCTTCCAGTCATCTCTCTCTAAAAAAGCCCCACCAAAACATTTCTCTAATGCCATTTTTCTGAAAAATCTGACCCTCAACTCGTGATCTCACGAGTTTCCATTTGGCCGTTGTTCCAATGGTCCACCTTGCCTGAAACCTGCACTTCAACAAGATGGCGGCAATGCGGCGGAGTCTGCATCGTCGTGTTCGGGACCACTACTTTTTTTTTTTTTGTTTCTGACTCTTGTTTTTTTTTTATTTTTTTTTTATCATCACCAACACCAAGGATCCTGTAAAGAAGACGTTTTGTTTCACTGGCAACAAGAAAATAATATATGCTTCTGTAAAGTGTAAAAAAAATACGTCCCCTCTTCATCCAGCTGAACCAGGCCACTCTGGAGTTTACGGAAACCAACAGAAACACAAAGGTGACTTTTGTATTTTTATACACCACTGCAGTGAGAGGAATGAAAGGACAGTCCCAACAGACAGACAGAACCCAATTGCTATGTACCACGTTTCCGGTGTTGATGAATAAACGGTGAAACTGACAGCCATGTTTGTCTCTGTTGTTCTGCCCCCCTCCACCTTTCCCAGACAACTCTGACAACTCCCTCCTCTTCATCCGCTGATGTTGTAGCTGTTGTGATTTGTTCATTGTTGTGGTTGCTTTCTTGTGTGTTCCTTTCGGCTTTACCCTGAAGAAAAGTCACATTAAAACCACCAGCAGAGAAACATGGGTTTAACCTCTTTTTTGAAAAAACAAAAAAGTCCTCTGGCTACCTCAGAAAAGCAAGGATTATGTGTTTGAAATAATGGAGCCCAGTGTTTGCCTGCAGTTGTTGTGGCGGTTGATGGGGCAGTCCAAGTTTACTGACACTCTTACAGAAGCTGGAACAGCTAAAACTGAAGGTGCTATTCTTTCTTTGAGGTCACTCTGGCGTGGCAGGGCCCTCTTGGTGCTAAAAAAATCAACCATCCATTTTATTCTTGGAGTCTAGGTCGAGACAAACTGTCTTATTTGCAGCCTTGGTAGGGCTGGCGGTCAATTTCTTGCTCTGTTTCTGAGCTCAAGTGGCAACACTTTTTCTGGTTTTATGTTTTCAACCTCCCCCAACATCTTTGTCATTCAAATTCTTCTCCACCTCTTCGTCCTCAAATCTGTTGTAGTTTGTTTCTTGTTTTCTTGTTTGGGTGAATTTCTCAACAAAAAAAAAATATTCAAAAGGAGTTTTTTTTTTTAAATGCACAAAAAGAGAGCCATCAGGAAAGAGTTTGTGAGAGGAAACAGACAGACACACCCATGATTGAAAAACACCACAAGGATCTGTACCTATTTTGTATATGTATAATAAATTGAGATGTTTTTAATTATTTTGAATGCTGAAATAAAGCATGTTAAGTGGTCTAACATTGAATCCTGCCTAATTCCCTGAGTGACTGGCTGACTACGCCCCAACTTCTTGTATTAAAGCAGCTTTTTACCTAATTTCCAGTTGTACGGTGACTGATTGAGGGAAAAAAAAGTTGAGAAACATCTCAGAAATGTTTTGTTGTATTCATTCAAAGCAGATAGTGTGGGTGTGGGAAGAAAAAAAAATACCATTAGCATCTAAAACAAAACATCTTGATGGTCTGTGGGACTGAAGCAGGTTCTTCACTCTAGTTTAAGAGCTAAATAAGGTCATCAGTGATCCTTGTGTTGACAGTTTTAAAGACTCTTGAACTTTAACATCTGTTGCTACCAGAGGTGATCAGTTCAAATAGACATCTTCATCCACAGTTACCATTTATCTATCTCCATGTTGAATCCTAAAGGTGTTAACCCACATGGGAGAAGCAGTTCAATGTGGCTGCTGATGTGGCAGCATGTTCAATATGTCTGGGTAACTGCGGCCTACCTTGCATGTGTTGGAACCTCCGTGATGTTGAGTATTCCCAAACAGCCGGCGATCTTTAATCAAGGCCATTAAATCCATTTCAAAAAGGTGCAATCCCATAATCCAACAGGAAAACTCATGCAACTCTGATAATCCAGTACAAATGAAGATGATGTTTGCCACGAATAATCCAGTGTTTCCACAGCGAGGAACAGCATCTACTCTGCTCAGGCAGCAGCACTGCGAGTATTGCCACAGTGACCTGCACTGAGCTGAGCCTGTTGGCATCAGCTTGGCTTTACAAAGACCCTGATTGTCCACCTTAGGAGAGTCAGCTATCCAGGATCAGGGGATAGGTTTGCAGTCCCCCAGTGGGGATCTGAATTATTTTTGCAAGAATTTGGGTCTTTATTTGAGGCCTCAGCAGAGGAATGTTGACTTCTCTGGTTGCAGACACAGAGGAGGCTCTGTTTGCTGAGAGAGACTCAGCAGCTGGCTTCACACTGAGGGTAAACATCAAAGGGATGTGAATGAGGTGAGGCTGAGCAAAGGGAGATCAAAAAGTGGAGATATACTAAAATGGATACAAATGACAGTTCACCATTTTGGAAAAAGACACCACTGTTCTGTTACGTTATAGGCCTGTTCGATCACAATCCTCCTCTCAGAAGAATCACAGCACAAAAAACATAAAAACTACAATAAAACTGTAAGAGGCATAAAGCATACTGTCAACAGTTTTCAAAATAAGGGCAAATATGAAAAAAGTCACAGCACTTTCTCCAATTCACAGAGGTAACACTCACAGACTTTTAAAAATTTGTTCAGTTCTTTAGATGAGCTTCAGTTTAAGTTGGACATGTAGTAGAAGGCAGTTCTCAAATACAATGTGCATGCTTTTGGAGCAGGTTGTACACTCATCTACTGTCCAAGTGAGTAAAGTTAAGTGCAACAAGCAGTTAGTGGGGAGCAGGATGTTTTGAGTCAGCTTTTATGACTGAGTAAGGGTCTCCAATTGTACTCAAGGGTGCTGCATCCCTTGCAATAATCCTTCTGGCTCAAAAGTCAGTTTGATAAAGGTTCATAACTGGTGAGCAAAGATGTATTTCAGGATATATTCTGACTTTATCCTCATGAAGTTTTTTTGGTAAAGATTTCAGTTCACAAATGTTGTAATTGAACTTGGGTGGAAGACATGATGATGCTTAAACATTGTCAGTGACAGAAATGCAGCTGAGCAACTAATCGTCCAACGTCTGTCACCTCTGTGATTTCATGCAGACATTTTATATCTATTTATTTATTATATTATTATTATTATTATTTTTTTTTTTTACTTTTTAGGCCTTTATTGATGGATAGAGGACAGTGAATAGGGCAGGAGACGGGGAAAAAACAGGAACTGGGTTGCTGCACATGTGGGGCATTCCCAGTGAGTGTGTTGTTTCCTTTTTTCTCAGTAATTTTCATTTGTTTATATTAAATAGTTATTAACAATATTTTGATTGATTTCAACATTAATTAGTGTGTTAGTGTGTGTATGTTAGTTATTATTTCAAACAAAACAGAACGTCTGGTTAATGTCCCTGATGTTTTATCTCCTCAGCTTCACACTGTTCCTGCTAGTTTATCTGTTCTTGGCCACGGCAGCAGGATCATTATAAAGTCTATGAGCAGGACCTACTGCTTCTACAATGTAAAGGATTTTTTTATAAATCATCAGAAATGAAACAATTATGATATTCCATTCATTATAAATTAATTTTAATATACTTCTGCAGAAAGGCCAATACATTCCAGGTCTTTGGAAAACACAGCTGAGCTGGGTTCACCTCCCTCGTCTTTCTGCTGAGTCTGCCCTGTCAGTGACCTTTAAATCATGTTGCACCAGTATCATCTATTGCCTCGCAGCATGCAGCTACCCTCTACGGCCAGTAGGACACCAGAGAACTTCTCTCTCTTTTATTTTACTCATGGTTGCATTACACAGCACAATGCTTTCAGTGTCTTTCAGGGCCCAGCTTTGGCTGTGAGTTATACAGTTCATATTTTGTTTGTATTGATCTTTTTGTTTGTACTGATCTCTTTTTGTTTGTTTTTTAAAGCAGCATGGAGCTGTTGAGACATAACATATTGCATATATGTATTATTTTGTCTTGCCTCCGTCACTGTGGTCATCTGATCTTCTCCTGACTTCACACTAAAAATATTCACTTTTACCTTATTGAAACTCACTAAAATAATCAATGTGTTTTTACTCCAGTTCATTTTAAGGAGTAATGCTGACACCTAGTGAACAAAAGACATAATTTAAGTTCATCTTATCTCCCTTTGTCATCATGTTTGTGTTTAATAAGGAACCTTGTGGATTCCCTGTGAGCTTCCAGAAGACCTACAGTGCTGTAAGTCATGTAAACATTGATTTACAGAAGCAGACACACAAGAAAGGTCACAGTGAGTTCTCATTACTTCATTCCTCTTTACCTTACAACTACAGACACTTTTTCTTTGGTAGGTCATCTAACCTTTTGTACCATTTTGTGTTTGTGTGTGGATAGTGATGGGGAAGCACTGTATGACATCCCAGCTGCAGGTTCTTCCCCATCTGCTGCTCTTCTCAACACTTCCAATTCCAGGTAAGCTTCACTTTTGTCCAGCAGGTGAGTTTTGTTTTTGTTGTTGTTTTTAGCACTCTAAGAGTGTCTTTCTATTTTCTACTGTATTATAGGTTATCATATTTTGGGTTATTTTATACTGTAGGTTTCAATTGTCCAATAGAGCATAGCTGATGTTATATTAACAAGAGTTTTATTCTTTTCAAAAACACTTCTTTCCTCACAGTCTAACAGAATCTGACCATAAAGTGACCCTGTGTTTTTCCTCTCAGCAGGAACAATAAAGTGAGTGTACCCCACTCAGCACAGTTCATTTCATATGTAAATATGACTGCAGTCATTAATGCACCATATCTTGCTAAACACAGTCATCCTGACAGACAGTTGAATGTGTTTGTTGTCTAGATGATGAAGTTTGAGCACTTTGTAAAACATTTGTGTAGTCTGATCACACAAAGTTCAATTTTATCAACATTATCTTTGTTTTTGCTGTAAACAAAGTTTAAAGAAAATCTCTTTTTGTTGTTATTTTCAGCTGATTTACTTTATATTTTACTACTAATTTACTAAAATTATGTAGTCGGTACAGTGATGATAAACAAAATAAAACTCATAAGTCAAGGTTGCCCTGCACTCTAAAAACCCTTTGGTTAAAAACAACCCAACTTGGGTTGTTTTTAACCCAACACCAGGGTTGAAAAGGCACAGACTACTTATTGGGTTATTTTGACCCAGAATGTTGGGTTATTTAAATTAACCCAAATTTTGGGTTGACTCAATAACCCTTTTTGAGGGTCAAGTTAACCCAATCCTCGAGTTAATTTGACTCATGATCTTGGGTTAAATTTATATATGCATTTGGGGAGCTTATTTTTGGAAGCTTTGCTTTTACGACATGTACCTTATTTTCCCATGTACTTTTTTCTAACTGATTGGTGGGAATCAGTTGGTGGGAAAATAGGGTACAGGTTGTACCCTAGCTGTTTCGGTGTACTGACTGTGTGTATCAAAGCAACCATATATCCCTCAGCCTGTTCATGTAACCCTGCTGGTTAGAGTTACTGGTAGCATCCAAACAGAGCCTTGTTCTCATCTCGTGTCAATTGCCTTCTCTTTGTTGTTCCAGTGGCCCATTTCCCATCACAATGCCCTGGTTCCTCAGCATGTGATGCATACCTTATTAACCTAGGCGATGTCTGAGCCGGTTTGGCTTTCAATGGTAACGCACTCATGTTTATGAGGTAGGCCATAGCGCTAAGGGTCTTGCCTAAGGACTCACACTGGTAGATGTAGTTTGCTCCTTACAGATGTGTCTCATGCAGGATTTGAAACCACGTAGAGTCAATCGAACCCAACGTTCTGACCCAATTATTGGGTTACTCTCAGAAAAATAACCCATAATTCTTAACCCATTCAAAAAAACCTCAAAATGGGTTACAATAGAATCCATATGACCCAAGAATTTGGTATGGATCTGAAAAATAACCTAGAAATTTAACTCAACATGTATAATCCAGGAATTGGGTTGAAAGAATAACCCAAGAGTTTTTAGAGTGTGGTGTTCACTTTCCACTTCACTTAAAGAGCCTCTTATTCAGCAAGGACACAGCTCATTTTTCTTTGTAACTGCATTTTTGGCATAAAATATAATCCAGGACTAGCAAGCATGATGCATGGATAAAACAGGACAGAGGAAGCTGAAGAAGAGGTAGTTGGACTCAAGCTACCAAAAAAAGGTTTAATTTTTTTTGGTGAATAAAAAATAAAATACAATGACATACATGTGAAGTGGAATTATAACAAAGACTTGAACAACATCTCACGGTTACAGAAAAAAGCCACTACAGAATTACTACTTTATTTCTGCAAAAGAGATCATAATTTTTAACAAAATAGCCCACTATGAGAATTGTGTGTTATACACGGTGATCACCTTGCAGAAACTGAATATTAAGAATAGATGATTGTACCCAGTTAGTTAGGGGATCTCTGAAATTATAGGTCTAAAAAACAAATTCACCAGGGGAACCATTGTGGATATCTCCAATTTAAAGTAAGTCCTTAACAAGGTTTTTCTTATGAAGATAGTGCTCTCCCAATCTAAATCTGTTCAGAAATAATTTGTTGGTAAATTGCACATTACTGTCTTTGCAGCACATTTGATGCGACCACCAAGTAGACAAATAATCCCCAAAGCCACAACAGCTATCAATGCCCGTTTTGTGTGCATTTTGTGTTTGTGTGTTGGTTACAAGCTTTTTTATTGAAACATTAAAGCAGAACCCATAAAATGATTTATTTTTAAAATTACTGCTGCTGTAAGCTTGGTGGTTTGACATGTTTCTCTGGCCTTTGAAACCAAAAAAGGTTTTTAAAAATGTGTCCATCTCCTGTAGCAGCTCTTCAGTGGTACTTCTTGTCCAGAGAGCCAGGAACTTCTGAAAAGCTGCTTGGACTTAAACCATGAACTCTTTACCCCACTTAGAGACAATCACAATGGTAAAGCAGTCAGGCAGTAGCTACAATACAACAAAGCATCAGGGAACATCAACAACAACATAAAGGTGGGGGCTCTTAATCCAGTCTCAGAGTGCAGCACGCTCAGTTGGGTGTAGGGTTTCCTTGGTGCTGTCCATTTTCTTCATAGCCTGGTCCATGCCGTGTATGATTACTTTCCTGTGAGCAGCAACCATGGGGTTTGAAGTGATCTTATCGGCACTGCAGCGGTCACAAAAGTTACTGAAATACCTGAGTCCAGAGGTAAACAACCTTACACCTGAGAAATCATGCCATGAATATGTTTCAGGTCTCAGCTTAAACCTAGACATGACATTCAAAATTCAACGAGCAAAGTTATGATCATAACAAAATGAGGGTGCCACATCTGGAAACCACGACCTCATAGTCCATCTTGGAGATGATCTCCAGGATAGTGGCGCACTCAGCCTGTCTTTTCTTACCATGTTTGCGACTCTGTGATGGTCAGCAGGTCCAGCAGCCATGGCACCAAACGCAGCTTTTAAAGATCCCCAAAAAAGCTTCCAATTGGATGATTGACGGGCCGGCAACATCTGCACTGTTGGTTTACTATGTGGACACACCAGAGGCACACATGCACTGCGTAGATTATCTCTGCAAACAGAGAGTTCTTATCAGGTTGGAGAATTACAGCCCCCTGGAGCCTCACAAAGCCCATCCTTTCAAGAATGCAGGTCGATATGAAGAAATCAAGTTTTAGTAACTTGGACAGTGATCAGGGTTGAAGCTTTCTGTCTTAGATTATTTAATTAGTGCTGGTTAGTCCTACACTAACACTTTTGTTTAGTCTTACAGTAAGACAATGAGACATTGACACGCCATAGTCATGTCAATTGTAGTAAGAGAAACATCTTCGTCACCATGACAGGATTGTTTTCTTCTTTATCTCATGGACACTACAGCCAGATGTGGAACTCCTCATGCAGTCTATCTTTTCATCACAAGAAGGCAGGGGCGTGTCCCAGCTGTGTTTCACCTATAAAAACCTCGCATGGTTTGAAACACATCGTGGATCCCAGCAACTTTGAATCAGCCTGCAAGATGACTAGTCTCACTGCCAAGGACAAGGCCACAGTCAAAGCCTTCTGGGGCAAAGTGGGTTCAAAGGCAGAGGAAATAGGCACAGATGCTCTCGCCAGGTAATTAACCGAATGATTCCACCTGCTGAAGCTGTAAAAAGTATACATATACGAAATCAACTATTTTTTCTTTTTCACACAGGATGCTGATCGTGTACCCGCAGACCAAGACTTACTTTGCGCACTGGAAAGACCAGAGCCCCACCTCTCCCGACGCCAGAAAGCACGGCATCACTGTGATGTCTGGAGTTGCTGATGCTGTGACCAAAATCGATGACTTGAAGGGAGGTCTGCTGACCCTCAGTGAGCTGCACGCCTGGACCCTGCGTATTGACCCTGCCAACTTTAAGGTGCGGATACAAACTCGCTTTTGCGCTTAAATGTTTGGATTCAGAAATGTACGCAAACCCATAAACTTAAATCTGCGCCATTGCCGTCTTTTGCAGATTATCTCCCACTGCATCCTAGTGGTCATGGCGATTATGTTCCCCAACGACTTCACCCCAGAGGTCCATGTGGCTATGGACAAGTTCCTGGCCGCTCTGGCTCTGGCTTTGGCTGAGAAGTACCGATAAAAAGCAGCAGGAGAAGATGAAGAAGACGGCGAGTGCAAAATACTCCGCAAAGTAAAAAAATAAATAAGTGCAAAAGCCTGAAAATATTTGTTTGTGTATGTGTGGATTTAATTCTAATAGTGGACTAAAAAAGTTTTTAAAAAAAGGAAAAACTAAATTAATAAAATAACCTTAGCATCTCCTCTCTAATCATATAGGGGAGACTGGGGCTTGTTGTCACACTTTTTACACTCTAACATATTTCTTGAAACTAATACACCATACATAAATAAAATGTGTACCACATGAAAGACCAAACTCGTACTCATGTCATTTTCACATCATGTTTCAGTTCAGAGTTATAAGCAATCAAATAGAGAGTGTGAACATGTGACATGTTGCCCCATCATCGGGCAAGTTGTCTCACTACATGGGGTAAGATCTCACAGTTGATTTTACAGCTAATGAAACAAGGACAAAATGATTGTTGTTCTAATTTTTTTACTTGAAGTGAACATCAAAGTCAGGCACAGAAAATGTTAATCACTGAGCTACAAAAAGTCATTGAACAAACATTAACAAAATATTATGCAACATGCTCTGGAGTTTGGAGAGCTGTCTGACTCTGTATTTCAGCTGGGGTGAATGTTTTACAGTACCGAGCTAAGGTATGGTAGTTAACATTAAAGTCCTTTACTGTACTCCAGATTGATTTATTAGCGAGGGTCACCTGCCTGACTGCCCTCAGCATCACGTCATGTACTGCACTGCCATGTTCTGTTTTTCTTTTGTAATTCCTGACCATGTCTTCTCACTTTCTCCTCCCTTTTAAACCACTCTTTTTCTGCTAAAGTAAAGTCAAAATTTCAATATGACAACTGCTGATAAGACCAAACTCGTACTCATGTCATTTTCATATCGTGTTTGAGAGTGTGAACATGTGACATATTGCCCCATCATCGGGTAAGTTATCTCACTACATGGGGTAAGATGTCTAGCTTAAAGTTAGCTTAAAACAGAGCAATGACTGAGGTATGACAGGATGCCTTAATCTCTCCTCTAACAAGTCCACATGTTTCACTGCTAGGATTTTTATCTGGAAGAAGCTTATTTTAAAATATGTCAAGTTATTTTGTTTTACTTTGGGTTTTGCAAAATAGTCAACTGGCGCTCATCTCGGCTCACAATGTGCCCGTCTCTTCTCAAACAGGACACGACCCCTGACCATGTCAAGGAAGAAAACTAGTATTCTTTGTAAGAAAACGAGTACACTTTGTAGTTGTGCCCTCTGGTAATTGCAATGTGACAACTTGCTCATGTGAGAACAAGCCCTGGTCTCCCCTACACTCATCGGCCCCTCAGCAGCAACCTTTTCCCTACATTAGCGCACCAATAGGTACACTTTCACCTGTTTCGCCCTTGCTTGGCCAGTCAAATGTTTTATTTGTTGTTGTTGTTTATTTATTTATTTAATCATTTTTCTGTGAAAGTAAAGTCAGAAATTTCAAACTGGTTCAACTGCTGATACAGCTCACTCTTTATGTTTTTTCAATCCTTCAAACATTGAATCAGTTTTGACAATGGAAAACCCCAAAATGACTGGGACATGTTGCCCCAAACTTCCATGTTTGCTAATTCTAGCTCTAGCTTAAAGTTAGCTTAAAACAGAACAATGACTGAGGTATGACAGGATGCCTTAATCTCTCCTCTAATATATATTTACAGCATCCACGGAGGGCCAAAAAACCCCAATCCATAAGAAGATCTAATCCTGTGATATTTATCATAACAATTTTAATTCAGTTCAGTTCAATTCAGATCAACTGATCTGATTTTACCGACCCCAACATCCTCGTTATTCCAATGTTTTTGGAACCTCAATAATTCTCAGTAATTTAGGTCATCTGTATTAAGTAACCGTTACTTAATACAGATGATCTAAATTACTGAGAGCTCAAGGTAAAGGAAAAAATGATAAGTGTGAGTAGAAACAAAATATGCACTAAAAGAAATGATTATTTGTGAGGAAAAAAAAATATATATTTTAATGATAAATACTTATCTGTTCACAAAACTTTATTTCTGAACTCAAAATATTAAATGCTATTTTAAAAATTGAAAAAATAAAAAAAAAGTTCAAAACAAGGCTAACACATACACAAACACATTCATACAATCATCATCCTCTCTTCATCAGAGGGAGACTGAACTTTCTGGTCGTGCACTTTGAGCTGCCACCTAGTGGTGTTTGACAGGAATGTCAGGACCTCGGACAGCACCTTCTTGGCCTCTGCAGGAACAACAGTGATAATTCTCCAAAGTTGTGGGTCACCTCTATGGGATTCCCTGTATCACATAAGACCTCATTAGTATGTTTAAAAGTTAGAGTGGCATATAGAAACTTAACAGCTCCATGAGGTAAACAGGTGACTTTTTCCTCATCTAAATACCCCATCCCTGGGATGGTTCCAACATGTCACAGATCCATTTAATTTCCTTTTTCCTTTTTTTTGTCTCAATGTGCATATTAGTCTGAGAATAGGGATTATATATGATATTAAAATGATAATTTAATATACAAAATTATTATTTATTCATTAATCTAATGTCCAATATTGAGTTTTGTTTCTTTCTGAAAAAAACATAGGCCTACTTTGAGTCAATGTGCAGATGTTACAGATTTCAATGTTAGTAAGTGGACTGTGGATTTTACCAAGGTACGAATGCAAATCTTGATGCAAATCATGCAACACTTGCTCGGGGACATTTGCAACAAGTGTTGCAACTGTCCCAAAGTGGTCAGCCATGACAGAACACCATGTGCTAACTAAAAACAGTTTTTAACAAATGCTAACCATGTGACTTAAAAATAAACTAAACAACAATTTAAACTAAGTTGATTTATTCATGCATACAGTCGGGACCATAGACTGTATATACTACGGACAACTTGGTTCTGCCTTCCGCCAGTACATGGATTTGAAACCAAAAAGCTCTCTGTAATTCCACGTTTTTTCTCCATTTCCTGAAACCAACATTGCACAGTGGCATTGTACGCACTCCACCGCTTGCACAATAGCATTTGGCGGGAGAGTCACCAAGGTGATGACACTCGGCTCAAACAGCGTATCCCCCGGGTGAGCTACGCAATCTTTGTACGCTGATAGGCTGTATCAAGTGTCAATCATAGAAAACGTGAACCCCCTAATAACTTTTAAAAATGGAGCTGCACATGTGTATGTTCTGTGTAATAAATTTCTAAAGTTCGTCCACAGCCCCATAAAGATGGCTCGAGGAAGTGGGATTTACGACCTATACTGCAGCCCGTCACCAGAGGGTGCTGTTCTCAGAGTGGCTTCAGCCAGTGAGCAGGCAGACGGCGTCCATTCTACATATAGTCTATGGTCAGGACAGTATGACGAAAATAAACCACATGAAAAAAAAATACTTTCATACATAAAAAAAAAATGTTTTTTTTCTCCAATAAATCCAGAAGATGATGCTAAATGTCTTCTCTCTTGCTGGTGGTGGTGGTGGTGGGGTCCAACTGAGCATCTGCTGTAGACTATCAGTGTCATCAACCTAGCATGTTTTTGATTGGAGGAATACGCCTTGTCGCAACCGTCCCCAGTCTCCCCTACCGTATAAAAATCACGGCATGTTCGCTGGTCACATTGAAATATACAACTAAGATTTGCTTAATCTGCACAAATGCATGATGTGAACCCATGCAGTGAAGTTTGATTGGTACACGCTGGCCAAATTTGAATCGTCGCCATGGGACTGGAAGGATTTGCGCATTGAGTGCTGATTGAAAGCTATAAAAATTCTGAGATACTATTTATGATCTCGTCTGAACTATTTACAGAGTTTGGAGCGCGGAATCTATGAAACCCTTCCTTGTCGGTGTATTTTCTTGATTCACGATCTCGCTAACTTCTAACGAGAAGAAAAAATACTAAGAGACATTTCTGTACGCTTTAAAGCCTACTTTGTTGAATTGCCTTTATTTTTACCTGAGAATGGCTGGGGATCAGTTAGACCTGCACAGTGACCCACAGCTCCAGCTTCGTCTTCTTTGACTCTCTCCATTCAGTTTCAGACCAAGTCTACTGGCTATCACTTCACGCCCCTTGTCCTTACAGTGACCCTAGAGTGAATTGGAGGCGGCGGTCTTATGGGACCCCAGTGTTGATAACGCGAGTGGATCATCACAAATGCCCCGGGGTGATAGGTGTCTAAAATTAATCCACAAAACTGAAAAAATAAATAAATAATAATGTCCAGTGAAGGCACGAGGCAGCCGCGTAATCCAGTCGATAAAACATCCTACAAGAAACGAGATGAGCGAAGTTACCCTACATGCACCCACATGGAGTTTATAGGCCTACCTGTCACATGCCTTTAAACTTTATCTGTGGTCCCCTTTGGGTGGACCCTCCGCTTCAAGTCAGCATCGCCCATGAGATAAGCCAATTTACTGGGTACTCATTTCACCCCATGTGACATCGAAATGTTACAGATAGCCAAACCATTTCATATTAATCAAATACAGAGTCTTGTTCGGTGGGCCTGGATGCTCATTATGACATAACGCTTTCTAAATGTATTTAAATGTCTTTTTTATCAATAAAACATAGGCAAATAATGGGAGAATATTCCCGAGGATGAGGCCCCCTTTCAAGAGTTTATGGCCTGTTTTGTGATGCGCAGTAACCATGAAACGTGTTTCCTTTTTTGGTCTGTCATTTTAGTCATGTGAATAATCATATTTATCAGGGTGGGAGGGTTTTAATCTGCTCAAAATCATTAAGATTGGACACATGAAAAGCGACATTTTAACAATGTTTGACTGGTTGTAAAGTTTAAATTAAATTCATGTTCCTACATATAGCCTACCAGATCCTTTTATGTTATTTGCTATAAATTCAGAAAGCTTCTCGAGTTCTTTAGGGGTCTGGCACATTTTAAATTTCAGACTATCCACTTTTGGATTGTATTGTAGGCAACTCAGAACCATCTTGGATGTCTTTCTGGGGTTATCTCATTCAAGCAGCAAGATTTGGAACCATCCCAGATGCCACGCAGCCTATCTCGGAGGTGTGCCCATGCCCATGCCCTGTTTGATGTATAAAAGCACCCACACTCAGAGCTCTTAACGGCATTTACCTTCAAGCACAACATTCAACAAGATGACTTCTCTCACTGGCAGGGACAAAGAAACAGTCGTGGCCTTCTGGGCTAAAATATCTGGCAGCGCGGAGACCATCGGATCTGATGCTCTGGGCAGGTAAATATTACTGCATACCGTCGCGTGTAGCCTGTTTTAATCTGTCTTTTTTTAACTCGTGAACTATCGAACATTTCCTATCCAGAATGCTGGTGGTGTATCCACAGACCAAGACCTACTTCTCCCACTGGAAGGACTTGAGCCCCGGCTCTGCTCCAGTCAGAAAGCACGGTATGACTGTGATGGGTGGAATTGCCTCTGCTGTGAAGAATATAGACAACATAGCAGGAGGTCTGCTGTCCCTCAGCGAGCTGCACGCCTTTACTCTGCGTGTGGACCCTGCCAACTTCAAGGTAAATATCAGGGGTGATAATTTACACATTTCCCGTGCTGTTCTCGTATAGGTTGTATGGTTAAAAGAAGAACAAATATTTTCCTCGGTGGTTGATATGGTTTAACTATATTCCTGTCGCCCCCCCTTTTTTTTCATCAGATCCTTGCCCACTGCATCCTTGTGGTCTTGGCCATCATGTTCCCCAACGACTTCACCCCAGAGGTCCATGTGTGTATGGACAAGTTCCTGGCTTGCCTGGCTCGCGCTCTGTCTGAGAAGTACCGATAAACTACAGGAAGAGAGCAGGGCATGGTGGACGGCAGCTTCGGCTTGGATACCCTCTGTCAATCTTAATATTTAAATAAAAGAGCAAATGCAATCGAAATATTATTGTCGTGGAGTTACTTGTTATTTAAAAAAATCCCCTGAATTAAACAATGTTGGAGTTTTGCATCACTTCATCCGGGTAGTAGGGAAGGGTGGGGTAAATTGAGCCAAGGGGTAAGTTGAGCCACCTCCTGTTGCTTGGAAATGGTAAAAGAAATTGATCATATGACCGAATATTGAAGAGGTGGACATCAATTCATGAAGTCTGTGAAGGTTAGAAGCACATGGGTGAAGGGGTTAGACATTTAAAAAAAAAAAAAACAACATTTTTCACTCTTGAAAGTGAATTTAGTCTGTCATAAGTTTTATTAGAATTGTGTTCAGACCAAAAAAGATCATTTTAAATTTGGTTTATACATCAATTGTGGTATCTGTGAGCTACGAAATGAGGTCAAAACCCTAGAATAAAAGACCACCATTTTAGCTTAGAGGACTAATAAAGTCATAATAGTCGTTCTGGGGTAAGTTGAGCCATTTGGCCAGGGGCAAGTTGAGCAGAGAGAGTAAAGGAGTATGATGAGAGAATCAAAGTTTCAGAAAAATGGCTTTCTACAAAACAGCTTTTTAACAGTTATATGCAATAATAATAAAAAGTTATTGTACCAGTTGAATAGTGTATAATAGATAAAAATACACATGAATGTAAAGAAGTGACTGTTATTAAGGGAGAGAGAAGATGAGGGAGAGCTGGGGTGGTGAGTGGGGTGGTAGTAGGGATACGGCTCAACTTACCCCGCTCCTATGGTCAACTTACCCCATACACGGAGTAAGTTGACCATAGGAGACCACTGACACTGGTGCACGACATCTTGAAATATATGCAGATACACTAGTTAGAGACAAAACTATGACTGACTTGATGTAGTGATCCGAAATATGAAAAATGGCTCATCTTAGAGTCTATCAATGATTGAAAAAATAGATAGGCCTACTGAAAATTAGAGAACGTGGTTTGGCATATCTGTGTAATGTTCTGTCGCATTAAGCAAATCCAAGCTGGAATATCACAATGGCATAGTTGTCAGCATTGTTGCTAATGCATTATTTTATCTGGATTTACAGGAGAAGAGAGGTTGACCAAGGTTACAAGCAAAGGTTCAGCCTTGTTTTACCTATTATCCGTGCTTGCATCCTCCACAAAAAGAAGACTATTTAGTCTGTCAACAACTTAAGCAAGTGCTGTCTCCAACCATATGGATTAATTTTCTTGGCTTTGTAATGGCAGCCCACTGTGGGAACTATCTGAGAGTGAACTGTCGTTGTTTTGACACCAAGAAAGTTTGCCCTCACCATCTCCGTATCTTGGTTACATGATGTGCAAAAATGCTTAAAAGGTAGGCAACTGCAGCTCTCTGCAATTTAATCCTGATTGATTCATTTATTCAATATCAACTCTGTGTAGGGGAGAGTGGGGGTAAGATGAGCCATTTTTCATATTTCAGATCACTACATCAAGGCAATCATTGGTTTGTTTCTAACTAGTGTATCTGCATATATTTCAAGATGTTGTGCATCCGTGCAAACCAACAGAATGAGTGTAAACAAAACTGTCTTGATAATATAGCATGCCAAAAAAGTGGTCTCCTATGTTCAACTAACCATAGGAGTGGGGTAAATTGAGCCTATTATACACCATTCAACTGGTATAATAATTAGTTGTATTACTATTGCATATAACTGCTAAAAAGCCATTTTAACATGAGAATGTCTTCAAGTGGCGCAGAACATTCACAGTTGTATTTTTGAAAAGAAAAAGTAAAACATTTCAACAATCTGAACTGAAACTCTGATCCTCTCATCAGACTCCTTTACTTTCTCAGTTGGGCCACTGGCTCAACTTACCCCAGAACTACTATTGTGACTTTATTAGTCCTCTAAGCTAAAATGGTGGACCTTTATTCTAGGTTTTTGATCTCGTAGCTCATAGATACCATAATTGATGTATAAAACAAATTTAAAATGGTCTTTCTTGGTCTGAACACGATTTTAGTAACATTTAAGATGGACTGAATTCACTTTCAATATCTAACCCCTTTATCCATGTGCTTCTAACCTTCACAGACTCCATGAATTGTTGCCCATCTCTTCAATGTTTGGTCACATGATCAATTTCTTTTACCATTTCCAAGCAACAGGAGATGGCTTAACTTACCCTTTGGCTCAACTTACCCCACCCTCCCCTACATAAGATGAACTAGATACAGAGGCTTATCATTTTCAGCTCATTGAGTTAATTCTTGAGAGACACGTTCTAAGCGTGTTGATGAAAAGGAAAGAAGTAAAAACCTCCTGTGATGAAACAGTCGGTAAGTATGAGGAGGTTTAGCCCCAGACAGACAGACAGACAGACAGACGCCTGTGTGATGCAGAAGTAGGCGGAACATTACAATTCCCTTTTGTGTTCCTGTCGGGTATTTTTCTAAGTGACACCACTTAGCCACAACAGTGCATGGGAGTCGTGTTGGAAGGAGTCCGTGGTTGTTTTTAAACAAACCAAACCATTCCTGGACCGTGTCGTGGGTCTAAAGTGAACATAGGATATCACATGTTACAGAAACACGCACAGCGGTGGGTGGTAGGTGACGTCACGGATCACGACCGGCCTGAAAGTGTCGCAGCTAACGTAAAGCTAGCTAGGATGCCAACAAGATGTTCAACCCATCAGCCGGACTACCAGACGAACGAAAATCCTTATACAGTCAGTCCCACCACAGTGTGTACAAAACTGGTGATAAAACCAGCCCTATAAGCGTCATACTGGTGAGTTCCGGTAGCCGTGGCAACAAACTCCTCTTCAGATACCCTTTCCAAAGAGTGGCTGACTGTCTGTCGTCTCTAACAGGTAAGAGGAGCGTTATGTCTGCAGTTACTCGTAAAAGTGTACAATGTATTCGCATAAATTTGACCAACAGTAATAAAAGTGACCCAGTGAGCTGTTTTCACCAGGTTCGCCCAATAAAAGTACAAGCAGAAAGAGTGACCGTCATTTGCAGGAACTCATACACAGTTTAATCAGATTTCTCAACATACTCCTATCAAACTTTACGGTATGATCACCAGGGCAACCTTTTGCAGCCAAAATAACAGCTCCACCAGATCTATTTAGATCTACTTATACCATAGTCTACATTTTTTGTGACAATTAGGTTGTTTTTTTAATTGTATGTAAAATATTTCCTCCTTTTTTGCTTCCCTCTTGTTAATGGAGAAGACAAAGTATAACGAACATTATGGTGGCCGAGAACCGCCACTGCTGCAAATTAAAAAAAAAAAAAAAGAAGTCACTAAAGAAGTTACCAATGCAAAAAAAAGGAACGGAAGCCCGCTGCAAATAAAAAAAGAAATGGTGCTGATAAAAATAAAAAAAAAACATAAAGGAAGTTCATGACGCAAAAAAAAAGTGGCAATGGAAAAAAAAAAAAGTTAGGGTTCTGCGAAAATGTAAGGATGCAAACAAAAAAAGCAACAATAGAGGTGAGCTGCTGAGGACCAATAATGATTACGTCCTCTTCTGTGCCTTGATCGTAAAACACTGGTGTATCATCATTATTGGTCCCCTGCAGCTCACTTCTGATGTGGCTTTTTTTGGCATTCTTTTATTTTTGCAGTAAGAAACCTTTTTTTTTCGGATCACCACTTTTTTTTGCATTGGTAACTTCCGATGTGGCCTTTTTTTTGCATCCTTTTATATTTGCAATAAGAAACTTCTTTCTTTTTTTGCATCGCCGCTTTATTTTGCATCGTTAACTTATGTTATGGCCTTTTTTTAATCTGCACTGTTTCTTTTTATTATTTGCAGCAGGCTTCAGTTTCTTTTTTTTATTCCATCAGTAACTTCCGTTGTGGCCTTTTTTTGCATCCTCTTATTTTCGCTGTAAGAAACTTTTGCATCACCACTTTTCCTGCGTTGCTAACTTCTGTTGTGGCTTGTTTTTTTATCTGCACTATTTCTGTTTTCATTTGCTTTTGTTTGTTTTTGTTACTTCTGCATTTTTCTATTTATCTTTTATTTGCAGCGGCGGTTCTCGGCCACCGTAGGAAATCTGATGTAACTGTGGTTGATTTGCTGCACTTTTATATTTTTCTGGTTGCTTTTACTTCTATTTGATCCTCTCTTGCAAAAATTTAAAACTCGTTCTCAGGAGAGTCAAACTGTTGCATACAAAAAACAGCAGCTGCATGTGACAAAAAGTGGAAGTCCAATCACTAAATTAAATGATAAGCAAACAGCAAAAATGGTGACAAGTAGACAAGTGGATCTCTTCTGACAAACCACAGACAGAAAAAAACATGGCTCTGTATCAAAAGAGGGGAAACAATAGGTCTATGAAACACTTATTTGACACAGGATTTCCTGTGATGTATCATTTTATTTTGCTTTTAATGTGCGTTTTTCTGTTATGAGTAATGTGAATTATGTTTATGTCCACAAGCAAAACAACGGAGTCGGTATGCACTGAACACCAATGGGGAGGGTGTTGAAGACCAGGATGGAGATTCAAGGTATTTTGGATAAGCATACAAGTATCACCCTGGATTTCTCTTTTTTTTTTTTTGTCAGATCTAGTTTTGAGTCTATTATTATTAAACCACATCAGACATTTCCGAGCTAATTAAAAAACAAAAACTGTCACTCATCGAAAATAGGAAAAATTCCAAACCAAGATAGAAACTCCAGAGGATGAACTTTCTCGTAAAAGTGTGCAGGATATAACTAATATTTCTGTCAGTACATACGGCAAATAAAGTGATGCAGTAAATATTCACACATAGTCACAAGTTTTATGCTCCAACACCAACAGATCAACCGTATGAAAGTGCTTTATTTAACACAGCGATCACAACAAATGCTGGGGCAAAAAGATCATTTCAATCTTTGTGAAGCACAGCGTATGGGAGGGGGAGCAAAACAACGCTTCTTTAGTACTTTCATTTGGCATTTTAAGACCCATCATCCTGAACAGCACCAAGATTTCTTGAAAAGACAGATTAAAAACCTCTACTTCAGTCGTCCCACAAAGCAAGGATGTTTAGCAGGAACTGTGTATCTGAAAAAGTTTATGATTTATGGCAGGGTCCCTGATGTTTATTTGATGTTAAGAACACGTTAACAACAAGAGCAACAAGTCAATTCCTTGAGAGACTTAGCGTCTACTACAATAAAAACAAGGCTGCTCAAATATCATCATGGCCATTGGCTTAATGATTTTGTGAATATTGCTTTATCAGATACTCAATTTTCTGCTTCCTTAGCTGTGTTTATTTACATGCTTTCTGCTGTGTATTCACACGGAATGACACTATCTCTGTTTGAGTTATGAAAGCTGCTGGTGAACATCAGAATAAATCTTCAAGCAGAAAGTATCACAAACATGCAGCATATAAAAAACAATGTCCAGAACACATTGGAAGTTGTACAGATAAATTACACACTACTCTATTGTAACTACAAACAGACTTGGTGTGTAACAGCAGCTAAGTGAGTTAAAATCAGATACTGTAAACATATGAGTGCTGCTAAAGTAGAACCCCAGACAGTCCCTCTTAGAGGTTCACGAGGGGTTGAGCCTGTTGAAAATAGTTTTTTATGAGACTGAGCTGAACTTGTGAGACCCCTTTAACCCCTCCCTGTTTGCACCTCCAGAGATTTGAACGTCTCTCTGTCAAGTCCATGTCTGATAGAGCACGGCTGACTCTAGTTGTTTTTAAAGGGAGACTAGTTTATTCATGCTACTGCCTCATTGTAGATAACATTGATTAGTGCGTTGTGGATCAAGGTAAAGTTTCGTAACCCTAGCCAGTTTTTTTTTTTTTTTCCAGTGTGATCCAGCTTTAGAGCTGTTTAGAAACATAACTTTATCTAGAACAACGAAACAGCGAAATAGTGTTGTTTCACCAAAGTTAAAATGTAAATTTTTTTATTTTTACTTTATTTTATTTGATCTTTTTTTAAGTGAAGTTGAAGTTTTTGTTTGTAGAATTTGTGTTATCAACACGAGTTCACAGTCAGTTTGGTTCCACGGGAATACAACTCTTCCTTGATTTTCCAAAATTCAAAAAAAAGAAAAAAAAGAAAAAAGGTTTTATTTTAAAAAACTGGTAGCTATATAGCAAATACAGAGCAGCGTTTTCATATCACTATATTACATGTTTTTTTGGGTTGTTCGTTTAAATGTCCATTTTATGCATTCAGCCCAACTGTGTGTTGCATTTTCCCTTTTTGTTTGCTTTTTTTCTTCTTTTTTATGGCCCAATTCCCATTTCAGAGATCAATCTCCGCTAACTGACGAACAGTTGGTAGCAGGGTAAGACCAAATCATTCTCAACCACCTTTCCTTCGCTTAGATCACCCTTGTCTTATTTTACTCCCTTCTTCCTTTTTTGTGTCCTATATGGATCCCCAACCCTGATCTCAGTTAATTCCTCGTAAATTACCAGTTGTAGATCCAGTGAATCGGTGCCTTGGTTAATTCTTGATCTCACTTTTGCTTTCCTCTGTACTGTTTGCCTTCAAATCTTATCAGTTTGCAACTCAAACTCGAGTTTAATTATCATTGGTTCTAGACAAATTATTACATAAACTCGGCAGTGCAAGCAAATTCAAATGATGATAAAGCAACGACAACAGCGTCTTTTCAAATTGTGCTGGTGCGGTAAGTCTATAGTGTGTTTAATTTCTGTTTTCCTGGAATTTAACGCCTTGATTTTGATCCCTTTGATTGCAGCATGAGTTACTTAAGACAAACCAGCATGAGTCTTTCACATTCTTCATTCATACAGCGACTTCACTGTTTCTGCAAGGAGGCCTCTTCCTCTTTCCTCCTCTCCAGTAGCCACACAAGCTTTTTTATTTATACTCTTAATGTTGAATTGTATTGCAGGCAGATGCATCTGATTAACACAACCCCTTTCATAGACAGGAATATGAACAATAAAACGATCAGAGCTAAGTTTAACTTTCTACTTGTCCCAGCTGTTTCTGGGCTGGGCCCTGTCACACTGCCCAGCACTCTTCTCTCACTGAGTCCGCTCTTGCTTCCTAAAGGTTCTCGGACATCATCCTGGCCACCATCCTGGCCACCAAATCTGACATGTGCGGGAAGAAATTCGAACTGAAGATAGACAATGTTCGATTCGTCGGCCACCCTACTCTTCTCCAGCACCCTCCCATCCTTCAGGTATCACCTCCAGACACATGTTGGATCCAGAGTCCTAGTGTAGGGAGGATGTTATGTAGTTCCTTCTTGGTCAGTAAGTTTCGTAACACTCTTTTGCAACAGAGAAATTGTTTTTTCTTTCTGAGTGCAGTCAAAAGTATAAACATTTTTGATGGCTTCCAGCTTATTAAAAAATATTATTAGATATATTCTTTTACAGTAGCTTGATAGATTAGGGCCACAGGATTATTATCAAATTTACAAGAATGAAGCTGTATTTTTATGAGGTTAAGAAGTTCTGATGTGAGGCTGTGGTTAGCCTACACGTGATCTTAAAGAGGAAGTTAAGGATCCTGACCCCTGCACTAAAAGGAGAGGAATGGAGCATCGAGTAAAAGTTTTACTTTGGTTCAGACCAAGGGTCTCCAAACTTTTTGATGTCTCCACAGAATCCAAGTTGGGTTTTTTTTTCATACCGTTCACATACAGCTGAATAAATGCAACAATCTCATTACTGTGGTTTACAATCTGCTTGGCTCAGATTCAAACATAAAAAAAGGACTGGCTGTCTGGTTCAGATCAGACTTGGGTCAGGTTTGGACAGAGCCACTCTGAGGTCACAGTGAATACTTCACAACTGAACACAGCTGACACTGTGTTGTGTTTGTGTTAATATACACCAACGAACTGGTGACATGCAAAACTAAAGATCAAAGATTGCTTAGTCTTCCTTTTCTGTTTTCAAAATGTACATCCTTTCTTGAATGCCTGTCTTTATACAGAGGCGGCTCTTTTGACTCTCCTTGATTCTGTGGGTGTTAAGGTTTGAGATTTCCTCTGCGTTTCTTATATCTTTGATGAAGTCAGCATTTATGGCCACCACTTGCTTGCGCTCTGAAGACTCAGTTTTTAACATGGTGACATTTCTTTATTTTCATGCATCATCTTTCAAAAAAAGCGTTTGTCTTTCTGTGCAGCTTTCAAAGACAGATCCTTCACCGAAGAGAGAAATGCCCACCATGATCCTGTTCAATGTGGTGTTTGCTCTGAGGGTATGAAAAGACTTTTCATTTCTAAGACTTGCTGTTTTTTTTTTTTTTGTTCTACCAGTCTGAATAAGTTATGTGTGAATCAAATGAACCCTGCGTCTGTTTTTTGAATGTAAGCACCATAAGGTCACCTGACTGTGGGCGGGATGAATAGACTTTGTCTTTAAATGGAAGGCATGTGTGAGAGAGAGATAATATACTAACATACTCTATCTTTAAGGGAGCAACCACAACTGAGAGGAAGGAGGGGCAACTTAAAGCTGCCTAATCATGTTAACCAGCATGGCCCTGCCTATGCTGAGTCACTGTGCTTAAGCCCCATATAGCTTTAAAGGTTAAAAAAAAACTTCTTTCCTTTTTCTTTCCTTTTTCTTTCCTTTTTCTTTCCTTTTTAAGAGCAGGCTCAAGACCCACCTTTTTAGCTTAGCTTTTAATTGATATTTATCTGTTTTATCCTCATTTATTCTAGTTAGCCTAGGGTTATTTTAGGTCTGTGTTTTGTTCATATTTTAGTCTTTACTTGTTTTTATCCTTTTATCATTTTTAGGGCCCCCAGTGTTTCCTCTGAGGGAGCCCTCGGCACCGGAAGTGGTGGTTGCTTGTGGTTGCAGGGGCCGGCCACAGGGTTCCTGGTGGAGGTTGGTGTCGTCCACATCCCTCCACTGGCCCAGTGTCGGTGTCCTGTGGCTGTGGGCGGCTCTCTGCTCCTGGTGCCGACGGCTCCTCTGATGGCGCCTTCTCAACAGCCTTAAGTGTGTGTGTGTGTGTGTGTGTGTGTGTGTGTGTGTGTGTGCGCGCGTGTGTGCGCGCGTGTAGGTGGGGGGTGGGGTGGGGTAAGGGGTCATCTGGGATAGTTTTTGTTTTTGTTTTTAACTTGTAAAGCACTTTGAGTCACATTCCTGTAGGAAAAGCACTTTATAAATAAAGTTTGATTGATTATGTTTTGTCAATATCAGTTGAACAGCTGCTACAGATATGTAACCCTAAAATAACCCTGATATATTTTTTCGAGATCACATTTTATATTTACAATCAACACTTATATTTTACCGTTTTCCTCTTTGTTCATTCCACACTTTCTAAGCTCTTATCATCTTCAATTCTCACATGCCAAGATCTTTACCCCAAAGGTTATTTGAATGTAGGAAGTATATGTATGTTTCATGAATTAGTTGGGATGCTCTTTCTAAGGTTGCCAGGTTTTTAAAGAATGAAAATAAATGGCACCCTTCGTGGTCACAAAGTCAGTGGCATACTCAGGCTGTGTGGGAGAAGGGGGGATAAAAAGAGGGGCAGTTAAGTATGCCATGTAGCATCAGTGCAAAGAAAATTGTGCAACAAAAATCTGCCTGAAGCAGCGTTTTGAGGACCATTTTCTAAGCTCTTTGATTTTTTTTTCTGTTGTTATAAGGTTATTGCTCAGTACAGCCTGTACAGTGGGTGGGCCTGTATCAGTCCACTCTTTTGGGCGAACAGGAGATAGCCAAATTTATGATATGGAACAGTTTTTATGCTGCTGATTACAGCACTAATGGGAGGGTCTGGAAATTTGAAGCATCTAACACCCAGTTTCTTGCATTCAGATGCAAATGTATATACCAGGTTGTTTTGGAAATTTGATTTAGTACAGAAAAAAAAAAACATAATTATAATCATCATAATTTTAGAAAATGAATTTTACTTTGTGAAGCTCACATTCAGTTAAAATTAAACATGGTCGTTTTAAAACTGAGTAGACTTATATCAGTCAAATAAACTGATCCAACACTTCAATAGAACATACATTTTTGGGATATTAAACTTAGACCGTGATTATAAACAGAACTCATACAGCCCATTAATGTCTCCATAAGACACCTTATCACATGTTACTCAATTGAAGGACATCTGAGAGGGCATTTAATAACATTGCATCCACTGGAGTGACATTCAGAGGGATTAAGTGTATCTTTTCAACTGAAGGAACAGCTACAGGAGCAATTTTTCAATGTTTTTCTTTTACTGAGAAAACACTTGATATTTTCTCTACTACAAGGGCACCCAAGAGGGCAATCAGCTATATGACATACCAATGTGAAAATACACTGAAATACCTGGTAGCATTTTTGATTTAAAGGAAGTATATTATTTATACAGATTTTTCAGGTAGTTCTCGTAATAGTAGTCTGCAGTTTCCAGATCTCTTCTGAATATTGTAACTTCTCATAGTTGTTTCATTCATTCCAAGGAATATACACAACATTTAGTCGTACAATATGAGACGATTTTATATTTTCAGGGTCGTGTGGAATCCCTAACTGGCTCATCTCAGTGGTTAAATCAGGTTCCCTCATTGATAGAGTCCTATAGTTCTTAATCTACATGCTCTTCCCCACTCTGTCTTCCCAGTGTCCCTCAGTGTCCACTGTCCTGTCTTGATGCCACAAATCAAAGCCCTGTTTGAATTTGAAATTCTAGCCTTATCTGTTATAGCTTAGTCATGTGCTAATTTCTAACATACCTCTGATAGACTGACAGTGTTTGAAAAGTTCTTTATTTCCTTTTTCCAGGCAAACGCTGACCCGTCAGTCATCAGCTGCATGCACAATTTGTCGCGCCGCATTGCGATAGCTCTGCAGCACGAGGAGCGACGCTGCCAGTACCTGACCAGAGAGGCTAAACTGATGCTGGCGGTCCAGGATGAGATTACTACCATGACTGAGAGTGAGAGACACACTTAACCCTGAGCACAGCTGTTCACTGCTCTGTCTCTGTCTTTTTGGAACAAATGTTTTGAATATTGTGATCAATTCTTCTTATTGAGACTAAAAAAAAGATTATTTTTTTTTATTAATCAAAGCGGATGGCTCCCCCCAGTCCCCATTCAGACAAATTCTTCCCAAGTGTAAACTCGCGAGGGATCTAAAGGAGGCTTACGACAGGTATGTGATGAAGCACATGTTGACGTCTCGTGTAGAAATTTGGATTGCTCATATATCTGACTCCTGAACGTTTGTTGTTGCAGCCTGTGTACGACAGGTTCAGTGCGACTTCATATCAACAACTGGCTGGAGTTGAGCTTCTGTTTACCTCACAAGATCCATGTGATTGGTGGCACCTATATCCCTCCTGAGGCCTTAGAACGAAGCCTTAAGGCCATAAGGTGTGTCCTTTTTTTTTGTTTTGTTTTCTTGTTCCTCCATAAATCTTGGATTAACTCTGTAACCCAGGTGTTACTTGTGATAGATGCCATGTTTACATGTTTATTGTCTAAGTTTAATCATATGGCAACACCCAAGTCAGCTCCTCTGGGCTGTGATAATAGAAAATCCCTCCCACGACACACCACACATCATCATCAAAAGCAGACCCATACGTGACTATGATCCGCATTAGTCTTCAACAACAAGCTTGACAAGAGGTCTGCGATTCTTGAGACTGGGGGATATCTCCCCCAACAGCTTGTTATCTCTAAGGAGTTCAGTGTCTTTAACAGCTGATTAAGAGCTCCAGGTTCACAAAAGCTCAGTGATGACTATTTAAAGCATCAAGAGAAAACCATGTGAGGTTCTCTGCGGGTCATGCTGCCACCCATCGGTGCTTCAACATACTGACATCAGAGTTGTAGAGACATAGAAGACACAAATGTGTGATTCGTGTGATTAAAAAAACAACTCCAAGGATGATTTCAGTTTGATTTCATCTCACAGACAGTTTAACATGCTGTTGTTTGTCGTTTCATCTCACAGACCTTACCATGCCCTGCTGCTGCTGGAGAGTGAGAAGGCTTTGCTGAGTCAGCTTCCTGTGGACTGCTCGCCTGCAATGGTCCGCCTCATCAAGACCTGCTCAGCGGTGAAAAACCTGCAGCAGCTTGCTCAGGATGCTGATCTGGCTTTACTGCAGGTGCAGACCAGTCCCATCACCTGCATCACAATTCCACTTTATAAAATTCAGTTTCAGACTTTAAGAATCAAAGTTTACCTTAAAATTCAGAGCACCTTTTAATGATTGGGGAAACATGTTTGAAAAAGATCTTTGTATCTTATGTAAGATAAGTGTATCCTCCTATATTAGTCATGATAAAGGTAGCAAAGATAAAAATCACCTTAACTGCACGATTTCTTCATAACAAAGAAGAGACAACAAGAAGCTAAAAATCCATCTCTGATAACAACAAACTTAGACAAGACTAGAAGAGATTAAACTAAAATTTTAGTGGTAGACCATCACCCTTTCAGATTCTGTACATTTTTCTCCACTGTACATCTAAACTGCCAAAATGACAGCAATATATTCTTGTAGCAGACTCAGATGGTTTGGGGGCACAGTGTTCATTTTTGTACGTCTCTATTTTAATCAATGATATTTTTTCCTGTTGCATATCAGTGATAAAACACAAGTAGCTACTAGGTGACATCAGTTTCATATTTGCTTTTTCGCTGCTGAGATTTATTCTGAATGGCTTCATGTCAAAGCCCTGATTAATCCTAGTAAGGCGGTATGTTAGAAGTGAAAGCTGTTTACCCAGTTAAAGGCCTGTGTTGTCATTGTTTTACTGCCATCTAGTGGACCAAAACTGCACATTCAAGCAGATGAGAGACAGCACAAGTCGCAGCAGTACAATGACTTCTTTTGTTCTTTATCTCCTGCTGACTTTTAGTTGCAGAACTAACAATCATGTAGACGGACCTTTTATCACTTCATATTTTATTTTTATTAATGACAGACTTCGTTAGTAACTTACACACAATGTGACAGTTTTTGCATCACATGTAGACACACGGCATGACCCTGTTTCTACATAGTGTTCTCTCTCTCTCCTCACCAGAAGACTGCCTAATAAGTCACAAATCCATTTTCTTATCTGGAAGATTTTTTCTTGTTTTCTGTATCAGTGTGTGAGCCACTCATGGAGGCGGTTTTCTGTTGATGGCATAACGTTTTAAAATATTCAAAAAGAAACAGCAGCGGGGATGGATTTGCATTTTACAGTGGATTTACATTATACAGTGGATTTACATGATAGTCTTTATATTTTTTCACAGTATAGGCATGTGGAAACCTTCCTCACTATGGGTATAGGAGTAAATTAAGGAGAGAAACTAAATGGATAAACGGACATCATTTACCCACATAGATAAACGTATTAGAAATGAAAGCCAATCATATTTATGTAGGAGTTTTTACCATTATTATAAAGCACCTATGGACAGATGTGATGTCAGTGGTATGTGGTGTCAGTATCTGATTGATCTTGATTTTTTGTATGCTTATTTAAAATTGAAACAACCTTAATTATTTGTGATGATTTCCCCCTGTAGATCTTCCAGATTGCTGCTCACTTGGTTTATTGGGGCAAAGCGATCATCATTTTCCCACTATGTGAAAACAATGTCTACATGCTGTCTCCTCATGCCAACATTAGCCTGTGAGTATCCATAAGATGATGTACACCACTCTGCTGCACCAGTATCAGTAGAGCTAGAGGACTTTAGCGTTGAAGAGCTGTAATCCATGTTATTTGACTGCTCCCCCTTTGTTTTGAATTCAGATTTTAAAAGCCTGTGCTTATTTAGGCAGGTATTTGTTATGAAAGACCTGGATCTGTCCATTGGCTGTTCTCTTCATGTATTTTCTTAAGGTGGTTTTCTTAAAGCTTGCGCAAATGGAAGAACTCTGAGAATTAGTTGTGCCTTTTTTCTTTCCGGACAGATACTCGCCATTGGCTGAGCAGTTTGCCCAGCAATTTCCTGGCCATGATCTGCCCTCAATGTTAGCCAAGTTCTCTCTGCCTGTCTCACTGGCTGAGTTCAGAAACCCTCTGGAGGCTCCGGCACATGAGGTAGGACTGCTGTAGAATAACAAATGCACAGAAAAACCCTGTCTTACACTTACATGCCCGAACACATAGACAGACACTACACTTATATCTACATTAGTAACATCCTTAAATGTGTATAAAGAAACTATACTGAACATGGAATAAAAACACGAAATGGTTCAGTGGCTGGGGGGAAAATCCACACCATTTAAGCCCGTGTTTTTGAAGAATAGAAACTAACAAAATTCTGTTAGTTTCTTCAAATGTTTATAACTAAGATGCAAACAGAGCTGCTGTCAACTTTTTTCCTAAATCCAATGATGTAAATTTCGCGAGTGTCTTGTAAGAGCAGAACCATCTGGTGTTCTCCTACGACTCATCTTGTTTTGGCAGAGCTGCTGGAGCGAGGGTGATGAATTATAAATGGCGTCGGGACATCAGCCCCAGCTTCTGCAAGCCTCCATTTTTTATGAGAACAAGATCAGGGCCATGCCTGTTACTTTTGGCTCTATTTTGAGCCTGACTGGTACCCACAGGCCAGTTAATACGCACATGCCCTGTTAGAGACATGAGTGTGTTTAGTTTCTCTTGTTTGTCCTGCGCTCGGCTGACGTGCACTTTGATGCTCTGTTCCCGACTAGGCCCAGCTGATCCAGATGGTGGTTTGGATGCTCCAGCGCCGTCTGCTGATCCAGCTGCACACTTATGTCTGCCTATTGGTACCACCCAGTGAAGATGAGCCCGGGATGAGAGATGAAGACCTACCGCTCGCTGCCAGAGTAGGAGGTCGGAGTCTCAGTACGCCAAGCGCTCTCAGCTTTGGCTCCCCGAGTAAGTCCCCACTCAGCTCTCTGCTGCCTGATGTTCAGAGGTCTAACAAGGTAAAAATACACAGTAGCTTCTACTTCTCGGTCTTTTTCTTCTTCTGTGCAGCCAGCAGTGATGACATGACCCTCACCAGTCCCAGCATGGACAACTCCAGCGCAGAGTTACTGCCCGGCGGGGACTCCCCACTGAACAAGAGGATGACAGAGACGCTGCTAGCCAGCCTGTCAGAGCACGAGAGGCAGGTTATTCTGAACATCCCCGCTGCACAAAGTCAAGAGGATCTGCGCATGTTTGCCAGGTATTGGAGCATAGCTTATAGTCTTGTGAAAAGGTTGCCAAAAAGACACCATGTGCTTCAAAGTGATACAAGATACTCAACGGTATCAAAAAGCACTCAAGTGTCTGAAAAAACAGATCTACAGTCATATTTTTAAAGCAAAGGAATAAAGTAAGAGAGAGCAGCGGTTAAGAAAACAAGAATTAGACATTTTATGATTCTTTCAGGCTATAACAAAAAAAAAAGTTCATACCTTTAAAGAAACATGCATGAAGATAACAGATTTAGAGTCTCACTTCTTCTGCCTACTCCCCTCAGTCACTGCCTCTGAACTGCTGATTGCCGTCATACAGGCGTCAATACTCAGTATCGAGGAAAGATTTTGTTTTTGGTCCACAAGACTTTAGAAAAGTCTTTAGATTTATTTTGTCTTTGATTTCTCATAACAGTATAATTACGATGACAGTTATTGGTCTGTCTTCAGAGCTTATTTCAGTGCCAGTCCAATGTGCACGTTGAAAATCAAAAGTGACGAAGTTAACCATTCAGTGGGTTCATTTTTGTTGCTGTGATTTCGAAACAGGTGTGTGTGTGTTTGTATGATTATCACTGGCTTCTTCTAGAAGTTCAAAAGCCTGGTATCTGAAACTGTTCTTGTGCCTTTACTGTATTCTTTTGTAGCAGGTGACCTCCAGCTAACCTTCTCGTAAAACTTTAGATGCTACAAACCCGTGAAGTGGTGAGGTTGAGGCAGCAAAGTCATGGGTTCAAATCACACTTGAAATAGGACCCTTAAAAAAAACAGTGAAAGCCTGAACATGACACAAAGTGACTTCCATAAGACTTCAACATAAATTGAACTTGAAAACAGTGACTAATGCATCATTTCATAAAAGCACCCACCAAAACAAGATGGTAAACGAAGAAAAATGTTGTTGAAACACCAGGAGCACAACAGGCAAAAGCTTTTGATTTTTCTGCAGCATTTTTTAATTATGAAACCATCGCAGATGAAAGGATAGCATTTCTCAGCTCTCGTGTTTTTTTCTGTTTGCATCACACTTTTGTAATTCACCACACATCACTCCACAATCCTCGTATTGATACTGGAAGGTCTGACTCAACTCAAAAACAGATTTTATTGGACTTGTTTTTCAGGGTTATTTCCAGTAAACTTCGAAGGTCAAACCGACTGGTGTCACATGGTGCCTCAGCATCATTCAGTTGTAGTGACGAAAGATGCTATAGATTTCTATGAATGCCTCTCTTTGGAAACAGAAAGATAGAATGACATTATGTAGAAAATAATAGCATTTTAATTGCATCTATAGAATGTTTGGAAATTGTAATTAGAAAATATCAGCTGGTGAATCAAAATAGCTTTGCAGCTTTAAAATGAGCAGACACTGAAAATAGAAACTGCTTAGATAGAAAGCCAGTAATCAGTGTTGTGTAGGGAAGTGAAAAATGTCTTCACAGCGAGAAAAATGCTGCCTCATGGTCAATTTCAACAACTAATGACTCGGAATAACTCTAATCTCATTTCGCTGCCTGTTCTGTTGACTGCTTTCAGGCTGCTCCACTATTTTCGAGGACATCACCACCTGGAAGAGATTATGTACAACGAGAACATGAGGCGCTCACAGCTCAAGACGCTGCTTGACAAGTTCCGCAGTGTCCTTGTGGTGACCAACCACGAGGATCCCATTATTTCAATCTTTCAGTCGCCCATGGAGTAGCGGTGGCACAGCAGAGAGACTGTATCAGCTCCCAGCTCATGGAAAAAAAAAGAAGTCGGTTTGAAAGCAGCTAACACTCTGCTGTTCTCACAGCGAAGTGCTATTTGTCGACAAAATGAAGTGACACATTAATTGTAATAATGTGTGCAGATTTACACAATGAAGAAAGGAGCTTTCTTTTATGAGCCTTTGTTTGTTTACAGTATTAAATTATTTTGTACATACCTAAAGGATTCATGTGTTTGTCCTTAAACTTCAAATGTTTTGTGTTTAGTTTCTTACTTCCTGTCCCAGATGTGAAAGATCATCTGGACTGACCACAGAGGGGCACATTGAGTAATGATTATTCCAGACCTCTCAAGCTACCTCTCCTCAGGAATCCTAGAGGTGGGGAGACAAAGACAGCAAGAAAGGAAAGATTCCAAACATCAGACAGGCGGTTTTTGCTGAGAGGGAAGGAGAGTGTTCCAGGCATCTGTGAAATCACTGAGAGGAGAAACTCAGACTTTAACACAAACACTGATGAGTGATCAAAGGGGTGTTTCAGAAAGGATCATTCAAAGGGTGTTTGACTGTTTATTGTGAGGAAACACTTGCGATGGATGAACTGGAGTGGGAGCGTTAAGTCCTTTTCTGACTAAACTCAAAGCTTCTGTTAGGAGTTTGTAGCTGGGTGAATTTCAGATAAACACAAGGTGCTTGTGCTTTCATTAATGCATCTCCCACCGTCTATCATATCCACCAGCAGGACCCTGAACTCCCTAAATGTTACAACATTTAGGGAGTTGTCAGGTTCAGTGGGCTCAGGCTCCATATATGCCAGCTGCAGGTAGGCAGGTAGGTGATAGGGGTGGCAGAGTCAGGATGAGAAGCCTATTTAGGCGGGAGCTAACCCCTGCAGAGTTAGGCTGTTTGCTTTACCCCCCTGAGAGGAGGGAAGGGGGGGAAACAAAGAAGAGTATGCAGAAAAATGTCAGACATTTGTAGTGCTAGGATTGGGGTGTATGATCTACCTATCTTTACTTTCTAAATTAAATGAGAAGAGGAAAAGGGATGAACATTTCCGCTTGTTAAATTTTGGCCCCTGACCAACATTATCCCACCTCATCCAGATCCACTGATTTGTTTTTGCTGCTTAGTCTTATGTTCCTGTTACTGTCTTTAGCGAACTCTGTCCATGCTCTCCTAATGCACCCACTAATGAAAGCATGCCTTAAACCCTCTAAACATCCTATTTAACCCTTAACTAGTTAAACCCTGTCTTTCCCTCAACCCTAAAATTCCACATCCAAGATCCTCTAAGAGTGGTTCATTTAGTGTTTAAAAGACAGCAGGTAAGAAAACACTACCTACACATGATCAAACGTACACAAAGACACAAACCACATTGTCCACAGAGTTAACAAAATAGATGATAAACATTTTACTTGATTTAAGCTAAAGTAGTCATGGGTTTACAAAATTACAAAAGTGTTACAGAGTTATTTCATATATTTGAGGAGAAACCAATATCAGCCAAACATGTTTGATGCTGGATAAGTTCACAAGGGGATCAGATGGCAGAATAGTTTGACTGATGTTCCTTTTAAGTCCTTATAATATCGTGCTGTCCTGTTTCAGACTGAGACAATCTCTCTGCCTCTTTATTCACAACACTAACACAAGGATGGCCACGAAGATAAAACCGCCATGGTTTCTTAGCCCACTCTCCATGGGATTCAATTCCAATGCGTGGTGCTGCTACTATATCATAGTTTTCTTCTGGATCAGTGTTTGGGTCCCTCTCCAGCCATACCTCTGGGTCTGAGGCAAGATCTCGTCGGTCAAAACAGCGGGGTATGTTCATAGCCTGGCACAGCTTTGAAGGCCCGTTACAGAGCTCTTTTTCCTTTAATTTAGGGGCTCCCTCTTTGCGTCTGGCCGCCCTCAGCTGCCTCATGATGGGCTGACCCTGCAGGGGCTCCAAGGAACGCAGCAGCACGGCAGCACCCTCCCCTGAGAAATACAGCACACCATGTGTATTAGTCAGCAAGACTCCATTCTGTCTCCTTGATCATGGGAAACACCACTAGATTAATTTGATATTACACAGTTGGAGGATAGCTCATGAATCCACTTCTTTTAAAACATTTCTGTTAGCATGCAGCAGTACAAGAGCACAGCTTATGTTTTAGTGCAGTGGTTCTCAACTGGTGGGTCCTGACCCAAAAGTGGGTCGCGGCCATGTTCTGGATGGGTCGCTGGTCAAAAATATAAATATTTCATGCGCATCTGATGTTTGAAATGTCTTTTATTTTGAAAAATAGCTTATTTTAAAAGGCAGGCGTTAAAAAGTTCCTTCTTTTTGTCTTTATTTTGTGCAATTTGATATTTATTCACTTTTGTCCATGCTGTTGCATGGTCCTCCTCAGGTTCTTCTGAATATGCTCTGAATGCAGAGATGCATATAAGTCAAATTTTTCATTTTGTTGGTCTTCATTTTGTGCAGTTTGATATTTTCTGTATATGCAACTTAAGTAGTTGTTGTCTTCAGTTCATGTGCTCTGCAACAGGTAACACTTTACAATAACCATAACTTATAAATGGTAAAACAACCATTTATAAATCGTAAGCAGATAGTTTATTAATGTTTAATCATCATTTATAAATAACATATAGACCATTAATAAATTATAACTTTTAAAAACCTAACCCTAACTTTACAATAACCATCTAAGTAATATTTATAGATGGTTAAAAAAACAAAAAATAACCATTTACAAAGTGCTACTGACACACATTTTAATCATGCTGTTTTACAACCAATATTTAAACCCTATATAAACCTTTAATAAGTAGTCCATTGATGATTATTGAAAATTATTAATCATAATTTCATTGCTTGTTAATGGTAAAGTAATTATTAACGTACATTAATAAACTATCTATTTGCCATTTTATAATTGGTCTATATGCTGTTTTTAAATGATGGTTAAACATTAATAAAATATATATTTACCATTTATAAATTATGGTTATTTTAAAGTTTATTTTAAAAAGACATTTGCTTGGTTTGAATTTTATAAAAGTGGATTGTGACTTAAGGACCATGGGAAAATGTGGGTCCAAAAGTGAGACCAGTTGAGAACCACTGTTTTAGTGTGTTCTTACCTTCACTGGACACATTCATACAGAGGTACATGCCATAGATTGGATACACGTAGATTGTGCCAGGCTTCATAAACATGGCTGTGTTCCTTTCGGTGCGTTTTCCTCCAGCTGAGTGTGAGGCTTTGTCCTCCCCTCCAAGGTATGCCTCCGTTTCCACTATCCTCCCCCGCAGCTCGGTACCATCTGCACAGGTGCGCACCAACACCTGCAGGAACAGGAAAGCGCTCAAATTGTATGTTTGCAAATAAATTAGTCAGCTGCAATTTTCATGATGGACGAAGCTTTTCTTTTTCTGAACCTATATGTATATGTAAGAATTTTTTTTTGTTTATGATTACCTAATTTCAGTTATTTTGTTGCATTATACCCTTTGGACTCCCTTTGGACATTGCACAGTTAAAAATAAAAGAAAAATGACACCAAATGCCTTTTCATCCTTCAATATATTCAACATTAAGCTAGTAGCAGGCAGCATTACCTTGCCGAGGAACGCTTGAGCCAAATTGATGCATGGTTGGTTGAAAAAGTCCTCCCCCAGTCTCAGCTGCAGGTCACATTTAGGGGGGAAATAAGGACTTCGCTCTGTCTCATGACTTTCACACTGAATGGGCTTCTTCAGCGTTAAATCCGATCGTTTTTTCTGGCTGTTTTCAGCCGGCTCAGCTGCTCTACTCACTTCTACCATCCTTCTTTTTCTTCCTGACATAATTAAACATACAAGGCGGAAAAAAAACTTCACTGTCTAAAAAGCAGCATCTATTTTAATTCAGAGGAAATCCTCGGTGTGAATAGTAGTTCAGCACTAATGCTTTTAACCAGGAAGTACATGATTGTTTTGAATCTCTTAAAGGGACCGCGCACCCTGTCTGCCTCTCCTGATAAAATCTGTAGAAGGGACTCACTTCGGCTGTATCCAAATGAGGCCCAGTTAGAGTCACAATAAAGTACCAATGTTTAGCCAAGAATTAAAGGGATATTCCAGTTTAAAATTAAGTTAGGGTCAGACACAGTGTAACACTGAGTTACACACCCCCTCGAGGGATGAATGTTGCCGACCGCTTGCTTCTCTTGTTACCAACTCTTGTAACGACCGCAGATAGCAATACACAGAGCCACGCGCTCAACTAAAAAGCCACTCTTTAGCCACAAACAGCTCAGAACAGCACCTAACTTCGTTCATAGTACATATAGGGTCCCAATAGCAAAAAGACTGAACACAACTCACCTACTCTCCTCCAGCAGCCGCTTGTTTGTGGGGGGAGCCCTGACGAGTCAATCACTGAGTGCAGCGGATCATTTCCTTAAAATAATAATCATCATTTTAATCATTTTGCACCGCAAACGCGGCAGTTCTTCTGCGTTACCATCCCGGTCTGATTGCATTTCCATAAAGAAATGATCATAAAATTTCTTCCTTGAGCTGCATCCCCCCGCTGCAGCCGATGGACTTGCCTGGAGGTCTCTGTACAGACAAGCGGCTGCTGGGAGAGAAACGGTGAGTTGTGTTTCCTGTTTTTGCTAAAGAAATGAGGCAAAGCTAAAAATATTTTTTGTGGCTAGTGCTATGGCTTGGACCCTATATGTACTGTTGATGAATTTAGGTGCTCTGTGTATTGCTGTCTGCAGTCGTTACTAAAGTTGGTGTAACTCAAGAAGTAAGCAGTCGGCAACATTCATCTCTTGACGGGATGTCTAAACTCGGTTATACAGTGTGCTCGACCCTAACTTAATTTTATGCCGGAATATCCCTTTAAATATTTTTACAGCTTTGTAGGAATAAAAGGGTTTGGTCAAGGCTACTTTAATGGTAAGACTGTGCAGGGATTATTTTTCATAGCTCATCTCTTTCAATAATTCTTGGGCATTTTCCCTGTGGTATCTGCCATGTTTGGGCATCATTACTAATACATTCTCCAGTATAATTTGGATTATTTTGCCAACCCAAGTCCTTAGCTGAGGATATCCTAGGCGTTTTTTCCCACCAAACATACAACCACATTTTACTGATAGGTTTCAACCTCCCAATCAGTGGCCTTTTCCTACTCCAATCTTATCATTCCAGCCTTGTTTGAAAACAGGTCTGCTCTTCTAAGAGGTTATAAATAGAGATGGTGTGCTAATGTTTGCCTGTGCCCAGGAAGTGTATGGGGCCAGTTTAGCCCCAGGCATGACTGTAGGTCCATGTGGCTTTCTGGAGAACTAACTACGTGTGACATCGTGCCATGCCACTGACAAAAACTTAAACAGCAGAGTACAATTTAACCATAGTGATGTCTGAGATAATAATGGGATGAGTCTGAAGCCTGGGCCTGCAAACCAGAAAAATATTTCACTTAGGAGAGGAAAAAGTACATTAAACATTTTAAACACACTCCAAAATTACATTGACTGATACTGTTTGTCTTTTTAAGCTGCTTTTCAGTGTGACTTTGGAAAAAGTCTGACTTTATATAATGCTGCAAAACTGAATCTAAAAGATTTTGTTCTCACTCTGTTAAATACACTTTAAAGCTAAAATGAAACACATGTATGTATTTATATGTTAGCATTTGAAGAAGATATAAATATAGAAATGTTGTGCCACCCCTGCCCGAGTCAGTGCAGAGCATAGACCAGACCGCTAAAATAAATAATTACTTTTGGTATGTGAAGAGTTTTGAATGTTATATCAATGATTTATTTTTCGATTGTAAAAAATCTCGCCACTGAAGCCTTTTCTTGGAGAGGTGCCAGAGTGCAACATGCACGCTGGCTCTGGCACCAGTGTGTGTGTGTGTGTGTGTGTGTGTGTGTGTGTGTGCGTGCGTGCGTGTGTGTGTGATGCATTGCTGAAACAAATGATTGTGCACATTATTCAATAATGCATAAGTTGGTTTACTGCAGCAATGAAAAGAAAAATGCCACAACTGTCCCTTTTATTATAACTGTGCATGTCTTTATTGTATTTGATTGCATTATCTCTTGTTGTGGTTCTGTTTTCTTTCCCAAACACAGACCGTCGGCATCATTATGTTATTATAGAACCCCAGTAAATGCATTTCTTATACAACCTGTTCTGCAGGAATTATGGACTTACAGAAACCAGCTCACTTTTTGAGCCAGGCTACAATGCAAACAGAAATCTGCTGAACATATTCAGTGGAAGAGCTCTGGCATTGGCTGTTGACTTTGTCCTGGCTACTGGACCAGTGAGAGCCATTGTTTGCCTGGACTATTTCCACTGAATGTCAGCAGTGATGTGCAGCTCTGGGCCTGGGCAGCTTTCTTTGTTACTGCCTCTGATAATCTTAGCAGCCACAGCTTGGCTGTAGTTGTGCATTCTGGATCACTTTCAACTCTTGCAGGCAGCAGGCAGTGATAATGAAGCTAAGCATGGACCAGGGACTTGTCTGTGTGTGCAGATGGACGAGCAGAATGCAGTATCTCACTACCCTATGAGTCACACAATCCTTTGCTGGATAAGGGTTAAAATCTTGTATATGATATCATGTCTGAATGCAGTTTTGAGACAGAGAGATACTTCTTATATATTTTTTTCAAGTTGTGATTTTTGAAAATAGTATATGCAAACTGCTGCTGAAACTACAATACAGTATTTTTCACTTCATTCTGACCGCACACAGAGTTATGAATATACCTAGAATCTATTTCCAATAAGTTGGGACACTGTGAAGTGTTAATAACTGTATATTTTGGTGGTTTTGACAACATTTTTGAATTTTATGGCAAGAATATGTTTCAAAAATGTTTTGACAGAGACAGAAAACACAGAGAAAGCTTTGTAACAAAAAAAAAAAAAAACCTAGAGGAATATCTCTCAACCAATCACAGTATTTGAACTCAGACAACTTATCTCTTGACATTTACAGCATTGGGAGAGAAGGTGACTGCAAAGCAAGGGTTGCCATGACAAAGATGGACAAAGGTGTTGCTGAATCGAAATCTAAAAGATTGCTCATACAAAAACAGTTTCAACATCTAATATGGTGTCTTTGCACAGTTTTCAGTAAACCACAGATGTTGACTGAGCTACGAACCATCAAATTCTGATTGTTTTTTCACATGTCAGTGCCCAAAGCACAACAGGTTGTCATTGCCATCTATATAGTTGAGTATATAAAGCGGGACACAAGCACATTGCTGAAACAGATAGATGGAGACTCGGTGCGTGGTTGTTTACTGCAGTAATATTATTATTATCAGACTGAACAACTGTGTGACTCTTTGCTGTTGTAGTGTTTAATTTGTCTTTTATTTGTCAGTCATGGTTTAAAAAAGGACATCAGCAAACTCTAACAGAGGCAGAGTGACGTTGCCTATAGCTGCTGAGATAATCTCTTGATTTAAACTGTGTTTAAATCTGTGCTGCAACATGACAGCATAATCACTATAGATATTAAATCTAGCGTTGGTATTCCTCACTGGTGTAGACTTGTCACGTGACAGCCTTTTCTCACCATGCACCCTAATTTTTCCTGTATTTATCATAAAGCTGGTTGAAAAAAAGGGGGAAAAAATACCAAAATATGAACTCAGTGATCCTTGAAAATGGCTCGCATAAAACACTTCTTGCCTCATCTTTGGCTGCAATCTCCTTTATCCTGCCAATGAGGCACAGCACCTGGTAGCCATCTGCATTTTCAGCGTTTGACGGGATTAATTATTAATTGATGACAATTAATGATTCATGAGTCTCTTATCTTGGTGACTGTGCAGGTGGCTGAGATCTCATTGGGAGGGGGAAGGATTACCCCATGTTAGAGCCGGTTGAAACACCTGCTGCACAGGGACATGCACATCTGGGATGTGTTACTCAAAGGTTTGAACGCAATAACCGCTGTAGGAACATCACATATGCATACATGTCTTCTTTTACACACCCAGACTACACATTTTGTTCAGTTTGTTTGGCATGATAGTGAGGCAGTGAAGGATCAAAAGAACTGATAAACCACGGTTTATACACCCACAGTTTTAAAGCAGACAGCCAGAAACCATTTAGAGGATCATTAACAGAGGAAAACTCAGCCTTACAGCTGTTTGGTTAGTTGATTGAGCCCGCCACAACCTCCAGCCTCCTCTGACCTTTCCCTGTCCGCACTGATAACAGCTTCCTTGTCTCATCTCACACCTGTGGCTCTCAGAGGGAACAAGCACTGACACAGACAGGCAGGGAGGCAGGGAGGAGGGTCTGTGTGCAAGTTCTCCCTGCTCATAAACAAGAGAGAATAAATCTGCTCAGCATGACCACGCAGCAGAAGTTTTCCTACCTTGTTTGATTTCTTTCCCAGATTCCTTTTACTAAAGGGACTTTCTAGCAGCACACAAGGTTACCTTTTGACTGTCTGTTCTCCTTGTGGTCCCACTTCCACTGCTCTGGCTTGAAAACAGGGAGAAACACTTTGACGATGCCCTCCTGGTTAAACATTACCCTTGCACTCAACCCTTTTATCTGTGTCTGATTGATGAGCCTTCAGGGGGCTTTGAGTGCTCCCACAGGTCCTGCGTCGTTTCCTAATTGCTGCCTTTGCCCCAGCTTCAATCCTCCTGGGGGGAAAACTTTGCCATTAATTACCACAACTTCATGGTATATCAATCAGTGTCCCAGCAGACCTGTAAACACCCCTCACAAGTGGAGAGTTGACGACATTCAATAAAATATCATGTTTTGCTGCTTTTAAGGTGCATATCTCAGACTTAGCTCAGTTTGTTGCGTGGCTGTCAGTCACCTCAGCAGGGATGAGACCTGAGGGTGCAAGACTGGGACTTGATATGACAGGAAGCTCTAGCCTTTCACACAGTGAGAACATGAGCTACTTGTGCTGCTA